AAACATGTAATGCTCTGAAAGCATTTAATTTCATGTAAATGTATATATTTTTATATTATCTCTTTCAGAAAACTCTTTAAATATAATACCTCTTGTTCTTGTGGCACTGAATTAATAAAAAACATGCAAAATAAAAAAAAAGTAAAATAAAAAAGTGTATTGCATACATTTTATTTTAAATTCAATGCAAATGTGACAGGACTGACAGAAACACGAAGACAAATTGTAAAATAGTATTTATTTGTAGAATTTATTTACAATTTCATGTTTTTAATGAATTGATGTGAATGATAACAACCTAAACTTGCTATTTCTGAAGTTTTTTTTTTCTCTCTCCAAATAAAAGTTTTTAGCATAACAAAACCATGAAATCTGTAGGTTTAATTTGACTGAGGACACTGACAGGGTTTGTAAATTTGTAAAGTGTTTTAATAAAGAAAAAAAAAACTCATTCATTAACAGAACAAAAACATATTCATTTACAGAACAACTCACAGAAAATTAACCCTCGGTCCATTTCGGATTTTTAAAAAAATACATTTTATTCTTTGTATTTACGTTTTATTTCAAGGAGAGATAATGTAGGCTTCTGGTAGAATGTCTTATGCCTGGAAATATATAAATGCCATGCGAAATGTAATGTAAACAAACAATAGGATGAGTGTATTTCTAAAAAATATAAAGCCAAAAATATATTTTTACACAAATCCACATCCTTTACACAATTCGTTTTATTATTTTCGACAGTGTTTCTCAGAAATCGCGTACTGCACCTTTAAGGAAATTGCATATTGTCGGCGCAGTGGCGTTGCTGTGGTTACAGTGGAACGTGTTCGAAGAACATGTTCGAGGAGAAACTAGTTTTGACGTCGGCAGTAAATGTCTGACCATCGTCGACAACGGAGGTATGTTAAGCTCTTCTTAAATGTTTAAATTTCGTTTATTATAGGCTGAATGGTTGTTTCAACTTGCTTTTGGTAAAAGACATTATTTCTCTGTAATATAATTTCAGATTGTGATTAGTTTTTGACCGTTTCTTCGGCTGTGGCAACCCCTGATAAACCAGGAAAGTGAGTGATATTCGTTTTTAAGGTTTAAATACTATATTTTCTACTATATGTATTACTATGTTGTACTAGATTGTTACACTGTCGACTTGTCAATTCTAGGATTTTGAATGTGATAATATACTGTATTTGATGTCAGATTTATTCCTCCCTGAATTATTAGCTCCCCTGTATATTTTTTTCCTCAATTTCTGTTTAAAGGCAACATTTTTGTCACACATTTCTAAATACAATAGTTGTAATAACTTGTATATAGTAGTAAGTTGTAATAAAAGTTGTAATAAGTAAAAGTACCACATTTCTAATATTCCCTTTTTTTTTTTGCCATGATGACAGTACATAATATTTTAATAAATATTTTCAAGGTACTAGTACTTCATCTTAAAGTGACATTTAAAGGGTTGACAGCTATAAATAGGCAAGTTAGCTAAACATTAATCAGCAAAGTCATTGTATAACAGTGGTTTGTTCTGTAGACAGTCGAAAAAAATAATGTGTAAGAGGGCTAATAATATTTACCATAAAATAATGTAAAAAAGTAAAAGCTGCTTTTATTCCAGCCAAAATAAATCAAATAAAACTTTTCTTAGAAGAACAAATATAAGAAATATTGTAAAAAAATCCTTGCTTTGTTAAACATCATTTGGGAAATATTTGAAAAAGAAAACTAAATTCATAGGAGGGCTTCTAATTTTGATTTCAAATGTATTTCCATTATAGTTTGTGTATTGTTATCTTCTTTAGTATTTACAAGTTAAATGTAGAATGGCATTTGTTGTGTTGTAAACACACAAATAGATAAATAAAGATAACATAAATATAGATTTAACATTTGCAGATTGTTCTGTCGTCAGATAAATTGATTTGTTATTATGTATTTGTTTGCTGTCAGGTTTACCACTTATTGCATATTACTGTACGTCTATTGTCTGATAGATTGTCTGGATGTTGTATTATTTATTTGTAATTTATGCTGTTGGCCAGATCAACATTGGTAGATTTTTAAATTGTTATTCTATTTACAGTTTGACTAATGTTAATGATTGTAACACATTTATCTACGTTTATGTATCGTCCTCTTGTAGAGTAATTTTACCTGCAAAACTGTATTTGTTATTTTTGCAACAGAACTAGTCTGGAGACAGTGATAGATGAAACAAGCATGCATTTGTTGAATAATTTGGTTGACTTTCATTGAATGGTATTAAGAATAATTCTTGACTTGTTATACTTTTCTTGTCTTTTGCAGTGGAGTGGACCGCATGGAGAAAAACGGGAATCACACACCTCAGCAATGACTGGAAACTGCATGGATGGATGGATGGATGGATGGATGAATGGATGTCTTGTCTGTGGCAGGGGTTTCTTTTTCAGGCAATGGACATACAACAGGGAGGAGAGTGAGATTCACAAGAGGATAGATGAAAATATGCTTGAGAAGCTGGAGCTCAGAAAGCAGGTACGCTGTAAAAAATGCAGGGTTCCACACAATTCAATCATGTTGTCCCAACGATCAATTAAGTTAACTTAACACTTTTAACAAATTTATCTGAATATTTCTTTTTTAAGTGTAGAACTATTTGAACAGATTGAACAATGGAGTTAACTTTCAAAGAAAGTTATTAGTATTAATTAAACACTTGATATCTTTCTCTTTGGCAGATTGGCATGCAGAAACAGAGAAACACACTTCAGCAATGACAAGTACATCATTATAAATGAGTCACTACCTTAAATCTTTAACGTGAATGAAATTAACTTTAAAACAGAGTTTTAATTTTTACAGAGTAAGTGAAGATAGGGTATTTCCTTAAGACAGACGGACGGACGGACGGACGGACGGACGGACGGACGGACAGACAGACAGACAGACAGCTAGATAGATAGATAGACAGTCCTTAACAGATATGTTTGCAGGTAATGGACAAGTAAGCAGAGCTTCATTGATTCTGTCTTTGTCTTTTACAGATTGGAGTGGAGAAATAAGGGATTCACAACCCTCAGCTATGACAGGAACCTGATTGTCTGGTATTAACGATATATGATAGATGTCCTTCCAAGAGGAAGGGGGTGGTGGTGGGCATAGATAGTTATTTAAATGTCCTGTCGGTGGAAGGTGTTTTTTTCAGCCAATGGAACAAAAGAGGAAGAAGAGGAAAACTCTTAATGAGAACAGTGGAGATATGCTTGAAGAGCTGGAGCTCAGTGAGCAGGTAGAACTTTTTGAAAAGATTGAACTATGGAGTTAACTTCCAAAGAAAGTTAATATTAAGTTATTATAATTTAAGACTTGATTTCCTTTTCTCGTTTTTTGCAGATTGGAGTAAACTGTATGGAGAAATACAGGAATCACACTTCAGCAATGAGTGAAAACTGCATGGATGTATGGATGGAAGGATGTCTTGTCTGTGGTAGGGGTTTCTTTTTCAGGTGATGGACATACAACAGCAAGGAGATGGAGATTCACAACAGGATTGGTGGAGATATGCTTAAAGAGCTGGAGCTCAGTATGCAGGTAGAATTGTTTGAACAGATTGAACAATGGGGTTAACTTCCAAAGAAATTTATTAAGATTAATTAAACACTTGATATATTTTTCTTTGGCAGATTGGCATGCAGAAACAGAGAAACACTCCACAGCAATGACAAGTACATCATTATAAATTAGTCACTACGTTAAATTTGTAAGTTAAATGAAATTAGATAGAAGGATGTTCTTCCAAGAGGGAGTTGGTGATGTAAATAGATTGCTAGATAGGTCTCTTTTCTGTGTCAGTTATTTTATTTGCAGGTAATGGACACACAACAGACAGAAGAAGGAGAATCATGAGTTTCTCTGTGGAGACATGCTTGAAGAACTGGAGCTCAGAAAGGAGTTTAAACTTCTTGAACAAATTTAAGAATGGGGTTAACTTCCAAAGTAATTAGGATTAATTAAACACTTGATATCTTTCTCTTTAGCAGATTGACATGCAGAAACAGAGAAACACATCAGCAATGACAAGTACATCATTATAAATGAGGTACTACCTTAAATCTGTAACGTGAATGAAATTAACTTTAAAACACTATTTTTACAGAGTAAGTGAAGATAGGGTATTTCCGACAGACAGACAGAGAGACAGACAGACAGCTAGACAGATAGATAGATTGTCCTTAACAGATAAGTTTGCTTGTAATGAACAAGTAAGCAGAGCTTCATTGATTCTGTCTTTGTCTTTTACAGATTGGAGTGGAGAAATAAGGGATTCACAAACCTCAGCTATGACCCGAACCTGATTGTCTGGTATTAACGATATATGATAGATGTCCTTCCAAGAGGAAGGGGGTGGTGGTGGGCATAGATAGTTATTTAAATGTCCTGTCGGTGGAAGGTGTTTTTTTCAGCAAATGTAACAAAAGAGGAAGAAGAGGAAAACTCATAATGAGAACAGTGGAGATATGCTTGAAGAGCTGGAGCTCAGTAAGCAGGTAGAACTGTTTAAAAAGATTGAACAATGAAGTTACCTTATCAAGGAAAGTTATTATTAAGTTATTATAATTTAAGACTCTTGATTTCCTTCTGTCGTTTTTTGCAGATTGGAGTAAACTGTATGGAGAAATACAGGAATCACACTTCAGCAATGAGTGAAAACTGCATGGATGTATGGATGGAAGGATGTCTTGTCTGTGGCAGGGGTTTCTTTTTCAGGTAATGGACACACAACAGCAAGGAGATGGAGATTCACAACAGGATTGGTGGAGATATGCTTGAAGAGCTGGAGCTCAGCAAGCAGGTAGAACTGTTTGAATAGATTGAACAATGGGGTTAACTTCCAAAGAAAGTTATTAAGATTAATTAAACACTTGATATCTTTCTCTTTGGCAGATTGGCATGCAGAAACAGAGAAACACTCCACAGCAATGACAAGTACATCATTATAAATGAGCTACTACCTTCTATTTGTAAGTTGAATGAAATTAGATAGAAGGATGTTCTTCCAAGAGGAAGGTAGTGGTGGAAATAGACTAGATAGATCTCTTTTCTGTGTCAGTTATTTTATTTGCAGGTAATGGACACACAACAGACAGAAGAAGGAGAATCACAAGAGTTTCTCTGTGGAGATATGCTTGAAGAGCTGGAGCTCAGTAAGGAGTTTGAACTTCTTGAACAGATTTAACAATGGAGTTAACTTAAGTTATTAAGACTAATTAAAGACCTGATATCTTTCTCTTTGGCAGATTGTCATGGAGCATGTGGAGAAACTGGGAAACACTTCAGCAATGACAAGTACATCATAATAAATGAGGTACATCCTTAAATGTGTAAGTTAAATCATATGAACTTTATAAAGCATTTTAAATGACATGTTTAACTTAAAGTAAAGTAATAAGTTAAAAGTAAGTTAAAACATTGTATTATTTTTACAGAGTAAGTGATGGTCATGTATTCTCTTCATATAGATATCTTGTACTTAGCAAGCATTTTCTTGGCAGGTAATGAACAAATAGGTAGAGCTCTATTGATGCTCACACTTTTTCTTTTACAGACTGGAGTGAAGGAACAAGGGATTCACACACCTCAACAATGATAGAAAACAGATGATCTAGTATTATTGATGGATGATAGATGTCCTTCCAAGATGAAGGGGGTGGTGGTAGGTGGATGGATGGACGAATGGCTGGATGTCTTGTCTGTGGCAGGGGTTTCTCTTTCAGGTAATGGACATACAACAGGAAAAAGAGGGAGATTCACAACAGGATTGGTGGAGATATGCTTGAAGAGCTGGAGCTCAAGAAGCAGGTAGAACTGTTTGAACAGATTGAACAATGGGGTTAACTTCCAATAAAGTTAGGATTATTTAAACACTTTATATCTTTTTCTTTTGGCAGATTGGCATGCAGAAACAGAGAAACACACTTCAGCAATGACAAGTACATCATTATAAATGAGCTACTACCTTAAATTTGTAAGTTGAATGAAATTAGATAGAAGGATGTTCTTCCAAGAGGAAGGTAGTGGTGGAAATAGACTAGATAGATCTCTTTTCTGTGGCAGCTATTTGCAGGTAATGGACACACAACAGACAGAAGAAGGAGAATCATGAGTTTCTCTGTGGAGATATGCTTGTAGAGCTGGAGCCCAGTAGGTAGTTTGAACTTCTTGAACAAATTTAGGAATGGAGTTAACTTCCAAAGTAAGTTATTAGGATTAATTAAACACTTGATATCTTTCTCTCTGGCAGATTGGCATGCAGAAACAGAGAAACACACCTCAGCAATGACAAGTACATCAATATAAATGAGGTACTACCTTAAATCTGTAACGTGAATGAAATTAACTTTAAAACATAGTTTTTACAGAGTAAGTGAAGATAGGGTATTTCCGACAGACAGACAGACAGACAGACAGACAGCTAGACAGATAGATAGATTGTCCTTAACAGATATGTTTGCATGTAATGAACAAGTAAGCAGAGCTCCATTAATTATGTCTTTGTCTTTTACAGATTGGAGTGGAGAAATAAGGGATTCACAAACCTCAGCAAAGACAGGAACCTGATTGTCTGGTATATCAGATATATGATAGATGTCCTTTCAAGAGGAATGGGGTGGTGGTGGGCATAGATAGTTATTTAAATGTCCTGTCGGTGGAAGGTGTTTTTTTTCAGCCAATGTAACAAAAGAGGAAGAAGAGGAAAACTCATAATGAGAACAGTGGAGATATGCTTGAAGAGCTGGAGCTCAGTAAGCAGGTAGAACTGTTTGAACAGATTGAACAATCGAGTTAACTTCCCAAGAAAGTTAATATTAAGTTATTATAATTTAAGACTTGATTTCTTTCCCTCGTTTTTTGCAGATTGGAGTAAACTGTATGGAGAAATACAGGAATCACACTTCAGCAATGATTGAAAGCTGCATGAATGTATGGATGGATGGATGGATGTCTTGTTTGTGGCAGGGTTTTTTTTCAGGTAATGGACATTAAGGCTTTACATTAACAACTGCCAAATGTGGATAGATTTCAGCTCTAGCGGGTAAGACAGCCACTCCCACTAGCCACTTTGGCTGGTTGGAAATAATTTTTACATTGTAGTTTTCTTAAAGCAGGGTTTGACAATGAGAATGGCCCAATATGCGTGCAAATGTAATCTTAGAATGGAGGAGCAGCACAAGTGACAAAAATAATTGTGTTCGCTCGAGCAAAAGCAGGTGAATACCTTATGAGAGGATGTTTACTTGCATACACAGGTAATGTGATTCGCGTGACTATTAAAAAGCGAGCAAGATCCGGTTTACTTGCGCAAAACAACCTTGTAGAGGAAACGCATGTGGTGCGATCGTTCTCTTTGAAATGGATTAGTCAAAAAGCGATGCTCATGTACCCACAGTCCTGCTGCTTTCAAGAGCTCAAGATTGAAAAAAAAAAAATATATATATATACATATCCTTTTGTAAGCAGCAGCAGCAGTCACTGCTTTCGTTCTAATTATTCTCAGACACGTGATCATCCTTTCATTATCAGACACGGTATGTTTTTTACCTGCTTTCTTTTGTTTACAGTTATTTTTGTTTATATAGTTTAATTATCATCCTTTACAATAACAGTGCTTTAATATGAGCTTAACTCCCCATTTATATGTAGTTAACTGCTGATCTGGGACCTTCAGCCAGGACAGATTACTGTGCATGTTTTAGATACACGACAATCGATCTTTTTGAATGCACTTTTTAGTCAACAAAACTTTTTTTTTTTTAAACTGACATGTATGCAGCTGTATTTTGCTTGTTTTGACACATTTAAAATGTGTGGCTAAAAAAAATATTATTTCTTTTTGGTGTGGTCAAAGATAAATTTAGTAAATCCTTAATTTTGAGCCCTAAAAAGTCATGTGAAATAAAAACTAGATGCAATACGACACAACCCATTTTCTCATGCACAGCGAGCAAGCTCATACACAACGCACACAAACAGTGAAATAAATGAGGAGGCATGTGGACAACACAACATCTAAATCAAGTGATTTTAGCATGTCAAAGTGACATTTATTCATATAAAATATATTTTCCAAACAACAAAAGTTGGGCTAGTGAAAATGGCAAGTGGCTAGTAATGTTGGAAAACTACCAGCCACAGTGGCTAGTGATCAAAACAGTTAATGTCAAGCCCTGATGGAGACAACAGCAAGGAGAGGGAGATTCACAACAGGATTGGTGGAGATATGCTTGAAGAGCTGGAACTTAGTAACCAGGTAGAACTGTTTGAACAGATTGAGCAGTGGAGTTAACTTCCAAGGAAAGTTATTAGGATTAATTAAACACTTGATATCTTTCTCATTGGTAGATTGGCGTGCAGAAACAGAGAAACACTCCACAGCAATGACAAGTACATCATTATAAATAAGCTACTACCTTAAATTTGTAAGTTGAATGAAATTAGATACAAGGATATTATTCCAAGAGTAAGGTAGTGGTGGAAATAGACTAGATAGATCTCTTTTCTGTGTCAGTTATTTTATTTGCAGGTAATGGACACACAACAGACAGAAGAAGGAGAATCACAAGAGTTTCTCTGTGGAGATATGCTTGAAGAGCTGGAGCTCAGTAAGGAGTTTGAACTTCTTGAACAGATTTAACAATAGAGTTAACTTAAGTTATTAAGACTAATTAAAGACTTGATATATTTCTCTTTGGCAGATTGTCATGGAGCATGTGGAGAAACTGGGAAACACTTCAGCAATGACAAGTACATCATAATAAATGAGGTACATCCTTAAATGTGTAAGTTAAATCATATGAACTTTATAAAGCATTTTAAATGACATGTTTAACTTAAAGTAAAGTAATAAGTTAAAGTAAGTTAAAACATTGTATTATTTTTACAGAGTAAGTGATGGTCATGTATTCTCTTCATATAGATATCTTGTACTTAGCAAGCATTTTCTTGGCAGGTAATGAACAAATAGGTAGAGCTCTATTGATGCTCACACTTTCTCTTTTACAGATTGGAGTGAAGGAATAAGGGATTCACACACCTCAACAATGATAGAAAACAGATGATCTAGTATTATTGATGGATGATAGATGTCCTTCCAAGATGAAGGGGGTGGTGGTGGGTGGATGTATGAATGGCTGGATGTCTTGTCTGTGGCAGGGGTTTCTCTTTCAGGTAATGGACATACAACAAGGAGAAGAGGTTGAATCACAACAGGATCAACGGAGATATGCTTGAAGAGCTGGAGCTCAGTAAGCAGGCAGAACTGTTTGAACAGATTGAACAATGGAGTTAACTTCCAAAAAAAGTTATTAGGATTATTTAAACACTTCATACCTTTCTCTTTGGCAGATTGGCATGCAGAAACAGAGAAACACACTTCAGCAATGACAAGTACATCATTATAAATGAGCTACTACCTTAAATTTGTAAGTTGAATGAAATTAGATAGAAGGATGTTCTTCCAAGAGGAAGGTAGTGGTGGAAATAGACTAGATAGATCTCTTTTCTGTGTCAGTTATTTTATTTGCAGGTAATGGACACACAACAGACAGAAGAAAGAGAATCATGAGTTTCTCTGTGGAGATATGCTTGAAGAGCTGGAGCTCAGTAAGGAGTTTGAACTTCTTGAACAAATTTAAGAATGGAGTTAACTTCCAAAGTAAATTATTAGGATTAATTAAACACTTAATATCTTTCTCTTTGGCAGATTGGCATGCAGAAACAGAGAAACACATCAGCAATGACAAGTACATCATTATAAATGAGCTACTACCTTAAATCTGTAACGTGAATGAAATTAACTTTAAAACATAATTTTTACAGAGTAAGTGAAAACAGCCTACTTCCTACAGACAGACAGACAGACAGACAGACAGACAGACAGACAGACAGACAGACAGACAGACAGACAGACAGACAGACAGACAGACAGACAGCTAGACAGATAGATAGATTGTCCTTAACAGATATGTTTGCATGTAATGAACAAGTAAGCAGAGCTTCATTAATTCTGTCTTTGTCTTATACAGATTGGAGTGGAGAAATAAGGGATTCACAAACCTCAGCAAAGACAGGAACCTGATTGTCTGGTATTACCGATATATGATAGATGTCCTTCCAAGAGGAAGGGGGTGGTGGTGGGCATAGATAGTTATTTAAGTGTCCTGTCGGTGGAAGGTGTTTCTTTCAGCCAATGGAAAAAAGAGGAAGAAGAGGAAAACTCATAATGAGAACAGTGGAGATATGCTTGAAGAGCTGGAGCTCAGTAAGCAGGTAGAACTGTTTGAACAGATTGAACAATGGAGTTAACTTCCAAAGAAAGTTATTATTAAGTTATTATAATTTAAGACTTGATCTCAATTCTCTCGTCTTTTGCAGATTGGAGTGAACTGTATGGAGAAATACAGGAATCACACTTCAGCAACGATTGAAAACTGCATGGATGTATGGATGGAAGGATGGGTTGTCTGTGGCAGGGGTTTCTTTTTCAGGTAATGGACACACAACAGACAGAAGAAAGAGAATCATGAGTTTCTCCGTGGAGATATGCTTGTAGAGCTGTAGCCCAGTAAGTAGTTTGAACTTCTTGAACAAATTTAGAAATGGAGTTAACTTCCAAGGTAAGTTATTACGATTAATTAAACACTTGATATCTTTCTCTTTGGCAGATTGGCATGCAGAAACAGAGAAACACTCCACAGCAATGACAAGTACATCAATATAAACGAGGTACTACCTTAAATCTGTAACGGGAATGAAATTAACTTTAAAACAATTTTTACAGAGTAAGTGAAGATAGGGTATTTTCTTACAGACAGACAGATAGATTGTCCGTAACAGATATGTTTGCATGTAATGAACAAGTAAGCAGAGCTTCATTGATTCTGTCTTTGTCTTTTACAGATTGGAGTGGAGAAATAAGGGATTCACAACCCTCAGCAAAGACAGGAACCTGATTGTGTTGTATTACCAATATATGATAGATGTCCTTCCAAGAGGAAGGGGGTGGTGGTGGGCATAGATAGTTATTTAAATGTCCTGTCGGTGGAAGGTGTTTTTTTTCAGCCAATGGAATAAAAGAGGAAGAAGAGGAAAACTCATAATGAGAACAGTGGAGATATGCTTGAAGAGCTGGAGCTCAGTAAGCAGGTAGAACTGTTTGAACAGATTGAACAATGGAGTTAACTTCCAAAGAAAGTTATTATTAAGTTATTATAATTTAAGACTTGATCTCAATTCTCTCGTCTTTTGCAGATTGGAGTGAACTGTATGGAGAAATACAGGAATCACACTTCAGCAATGATTGACAACTGAATGGATGTATGGATGAAAGGATGGGTCGATAGATGAATGTATTGTCTGTGGCAGGGATTTCTTTTTCAGATAATGGACATACAACAGCAAGGAGAGGGAGATTCACAACAGGATTGGTGGAGATATGCTTGAAGAGCTGGAAATCAGTAACCAGGTAGAACTGTTTGAACAGATTGAACAATGGGGTTAACTTAAGTTATTAAGATTATTTAAAGACTTGGTATCTTTCTCTTTGGCAGATTGTCATGGAGCATGTGGAGAAACTGGGAAACACTTCAGCAATGACAAGTACATAATGAGGTACATCCCTAAATGTGTAAGTTGAATCAAATAACTTCATAAAGTAATTTAAACTATTGATGCACTATTTACCTTTTACAGATTGAAGTGGAGAAACGAGGGAATCATACACGTCAACAATGACAGGAAACTGATGGTCTGGTATTGCCTATACATGATAGATGTCCTTCCAAAAGGAAGGGGGTGGTGGTGGGCATAGATAGTTAGATAGACTTCTTGTCTGTAAAAGGTAATGAACACACAACAGGCATAAAAAGGAGAATTACAAGAGGATCAGTGGAGATATGCTTGAAGAGCTGGAGCTTAGCAAATACATACTGTAGAGCTCTGTTAGTCTTGTCTTTGCCTTTTTGCAGGTTGGAGTGGAGCATGTGGAGAAACAAGGAAATCACACACCTCAGCAATGCCTGGAAACTGATGGTTAGGTTAGATATTTCCTGGATGGATGGATGAATGTTTAAATAGACGACCTTCCAAGTGGAAGGGGGTGGTGGTGGGCATAGATAGTTAGATAGGTGTCTGTGGAAGGTTTTTTCTTACAGACAGTGGAACCACAAAAGGCAGAAGACGGAGAATCACAAGAGTGGAGATATGCCTGAAGAGCTGGAGCTCAGTAAGGAGGTTGAACTTCTTGAACAGATTAAACAATGGAGTTAACTTTCAAAGAAAGATATATAGATCAATTAAAGACTTGAAATGTTTCTCTTTGGCAGATTGGCATGGAGGATGTGGAGAAACAGGGAAACACAACTCAGCAATGACAAGTACATCATAATCATAGGAGAAGGCTAATCTTTCCCCTGGCCACAGAACACAGGCTTGAGACTAGCAAAGAAAAAATTTCCTGTGGTATATTCTCACTCAAACCACTGCCTGCTTCTTTGCTTATGGAGAGAAAAGCTGCTCATATCTGCTGGTTCTTGATCAATATTTGATATCCAGCTTGGCTCTCTAGACCAGAAGCTGTGGATATGAAATATCAAGGAAAAATTTAGATGAAATTAAAAGCCTAGAATTTAGAAATTTAACTTATCTTGAACAGAAATTGATAGATGATTTAACTGCATTAGAAAAGGCAAAGGCTGTTTTTTAATTATATTGGTCTGCGATAGCAAATCACACACGGTATTTATTTCTAGCTAAAATGAACAGTGCTTTGTTAGATGCTCTCTTTAAAAATTTGCACTAAACTATTATTTTTACTTTGCATCATCATCTTGGAAATAAAGCTTTGTGTCTTTGCACCTGAATAAGTCATGATTTGTGTATTTAATTTCGTGTTTGAGCAACATCTGTTTCAAAATCTTGCAAATTCTGTGGTGTTTTAATTAGTTTCCATTTGAGAAAAGTTGAGCATATGTTGTTAAATTAATAATTATTTAACAAGTGTTGATCGGATTTGTACTTATTTCAACAAATGTTATATATTGAATAAAAGCATATCAATTCTAATGGTGTCATTGATTCTGTGATTTATCCATATAACTTTACTTTGCACAAAAGTGTTAAAAGATGTGTTCTATTATTAGAATGTTCTTCACAATAACCAAAATACAGTAATTGTAAGAAACACTCGTCAGAAAGGTTTTTTTAAGGAACCTAATACAGCTCTTCTATGGTACACATGGATTTCAGTTTCTTATGGATTACAGTTTAAAAATAATCACTTTTTACTTTCAGAACCTGGCTAGATTACCCCAGAAGACCGAACTCGGTCAGAAGAGAAAGAGTAAAATAACCGATATTAAATTACAGGAATTTACCATTAAATAACAGATGTTAAATTACAGAAATTTACCATAAAATAACCAATGTTAAATTACTGAAATTTACCGGAAAATTACAGATGTTAAATTACAGAAATTTACCATAAAATAACCGATATTACATTACAGAAATTTATTGTAAAATAACTGATGGTAAATTACAGAAATTTACCGGAAAATTACAGATGTTAAATTACAGAACATTACTGCAAAATAAAGGCTGTTAAATGACAGAAATTTACCAGAAATTTAAAGACATTTCTGTAATTTATCGTCCGTTATTCAATGGTAAATTTCAGTAATTTAACAGCCTTTTTTAGCGTTTTTTTCCGGCACCCCAGATGCTGGAAAAAAAACCGTAAGATTGTGGATTTCTTTTAACAGTGCACAGCGATTATACATTTTAAGGAAATCAGCAAATTCATGTCAAATAACTGTTTCTGTTAAGCTGGAATAATAAAAAAAAAGCATTCAACAGAAAATTACACACTTCATCTTTAAAATGCCACGGTTACAGTTCTGCTTGAGCAATTTGTTATTGAAACAGGAAGATCTCTGCGATATAATGATTTAAATCCTACAGCAGCTCTTCTGTCGTGAAATACAGTACAGTTTCATGCTTAACCACCAGGATTCTGAGATATACTAAAAATAGACTCCTCTGTATTGTATTGACTAGTGCAGCTCTCCTACACATATCATTAGGTAACATGTCTGAGACAAATCTCTCTCCTCTCACCCCTCTCATCAGCTCCATCTTCCCTCATTATGACTCATTCTTACTGAAATAACACAGGCGTGTGGTGACCCATGCGGAATTCACACTTTATAGGCCACCTATTGTGCACCCCTTTAATTCTTAAAGTAATATTGGTCTCGAGTGTCTCCAGAATGTGTCTGTGAAGATTCAGGGGGATGGGGTGGGGTGGGGTGGGGGGTCTAAAAAAAAGTCTATTTACTATGACTTAAATTCACCCCATCTTCAGAAGACCGGATGTCTCAGAATGCTCATCTGCATCATTTATGTGCCTGTTCACAGTCCATTTGCATTGACAGATAAGTAACGCACACAAATACAGTACATTGGTAATGTTTGTGATGCACTTTAAATGAATGGACACATATAAAAGTATGCTTAAAATGTCAGCTGAGCACTACAGCAGCATAACATTAAAGTGTGAAACTGTTCAAATGTCACAGAGTTGGTAAAGATCAATCATTGAGTAACAATCTTTTAGCAAAGCCTTCCTTGTAGTGAAATAATGTGCGCAGACACATTCATTTAGGCATTTTTTGAGGTGTATTACCTTTAAATATAAAAGCAATCTAACGCATCCTCAATGGCTCTGATCTTGAGAGAAAAATAAGACTTTTATGTTTATGTTTTTATGTTCTCTCATCTGAACATTATGAATTTTATCCATTTGGATGCGCATATGCATTAGCCAATCCAGGCTCATTCTGATTATGTACCACTATGTACATATCTGAAGATCGCATATGTCCCTGGAGCTACATTTTTTGCAGTTTTTGTTTTCATGTATCCACTAGAGGCCAAATTTTTCTCACAAGGGGCATTTGTACCTGCTCTTATTGCATAAATCCACCAGAGAGCACTGTCGACTGACTGATTTACTGACTGACCAACCAACCAATCCCCCCATCCTCCCCTTCACTAATCCCAAGCAATACATTTTCAAAAGCACTGATTGACCCGTGCTTACCACATCCCTAAACCCAACCACAGTATTTTAAAAAGCAACCCAGAAAAAGAGAAGCACCCTGATTTTTACCACGTTTTCAGATTTTACCACATTCTCACCCTGTTATTTACTTGTTTATTTTATTTCTTGCCTTTTGCTTTCTGGAACCGTTCTTCACTGGACACGATCCCCATTGTCACGGTCAACTTTGGTCTGTGTCTTAAATCCACCAATGTTGGATCTACCAGACAAACTGCGCTTAGCAGGTAAGTGAGAAAAGAAACAGCGTCATACCATTCGTAGCGATCATTATAAAAATGAAATACAGCCATACATGGCTACATAATTTGCGATCTCCAGAAATGTATATATATATATATGAACATTTATTATAACATAAATGTATATGCAAACATGGGAAGAACATGCAAACTCCACACAGAAATGCCAACTGACCCAGTGACCTTCTTGCTGTGGGGTGACAATGCTAACCACAAAGCCACCGTGTCACCTTTATATATATATATATATATATATATATATATATATATATATATATATATATATATATATATATATATATATATATATATATATATATATATATATATATACATATATACATATATATATATATATATATCGTTCATTTATGTAGTGTGCTTCACAGACGTGAGTGGGCTTGACAAACCACCTGTTGAAACATTCTTCTCTTTCTCCCCCCTTCTAACTGTAGCACTTAATTCTCTGAGCACAAACAGTTCCTTCATATTATTATATAAAATATAAAGGGACTTTATAGGTGGAGCGAGTGTTAATCACTTGTGCACCACCAGTCCTGAGTCTCCAGGAGGATAAAAGAAGTAGCGATGACAGTGGAAGATGAGAGAGAACCATGCCTGTGACACTTTATGCTTGATCTTTTGTGTTTAGGCAGCTGTTGTCCGTGACATTTAGTTTTCTGTTAATATTCTTATTAAAATAGTTTGAAATGTTTGCCCATTACTGACTTTTCCTTTCATGAGAAAGTTTATACTGCTATAAACTCTCTGAGGCTGGAGACCACAGTCATTCAGGACTGTCAGAAGAAGAAAAAAAAAACTTTAATAAATGTTCATCTGGAGCGGTTTCATAGTAAATAGTTAAAAAGATCTGTTATATGTTTTATTATTAATATTTAAAAAGCATATAATAAATAGTATACATTAGAAGAAGCAGCAAATAAATGAAACAGTTTAGCCTATTCAAATTAATAGCAATTATAAAGAAGTTGAATCGCTATCAAATCTCATGAACCTTTTCTTCACTGTGTAACTTAAATAATTCTGATTAAAGAGCAGCGAATGACTCTCTCATTTAGATTTTTCATTAGATTACATTAAATAACAGAGGTGTCTCTTTAAAAATGCACAGATCTATAATGAAAGCATTCGAATTCCGAACTGTTTCTGCTCATTTAAGACTAAATTTGTTGTGCTTAAAAGAAAACCCACCAAGATCGCCATGATTACATTATTATGTGTATATGTCTGTTCAAACACACACCCAAAACCGAGAGCATTCACATTTGCTCCGCTTCTAATCGCATGTACAGAATCCGTTTGGGAAACAGTGTCTATTTATCACCATGGAGCGCTTCTGACAGTCACTTACTGCTTACATGAGATTGAATAGGAGAGGCAAAGGTGCCTATTTTGGAAAGAAAGGGAATCCTGCCATTTAATATTTATTTCAAAGTGTTTTTATGCCTAAATAAAATGAAATCCCAGATCAAATTCACATTTAAGAGCAAGGGGCGTCCCCTGGTGGTTCGGCGGTAAAGGTTACATTTAGGGAGGTTTGGCTCTTTAATGTTTATTGCCACCCTTTGACTAAAAATACGGGAAAATACTTCTATGGGATAATAGCGAGATAGAATTGTAAAATTAGGCAAAACGGAAAACGGGAGGGGTAACAGTTACGCATCACATTGCTTAGGGAAGCACAGTAGCAATCCCTTTTTAGACTTGCTTTAGCGTAATGGAAATTAAAGGTATAGTTCACCCAATCATACTGTAAGTCATCATTGACTCAACCTCATATGGTTCAAATATGTTTGCGTTTCTTTCTGCTTTTGAACATAAAAGAAGATATTTTAAAGAATGTTAGAAATTGGTCCATAGTAGGAAAACCAAATACTAGAGAAGTCAATGGCTACCAGGGTTTCAACATTCTTCAAGATATAAAAGAATGAAATTTAAACTGGTTTACAACAAGTGGAGGAAGAGTAAATATTAACAATGCTCATTTTTGTGTGAACTATCCCTTTACAAAAAGGAATGGATGGATTCTTTATTCATGTAGGATGGCTGCGTTCACACACTGCCAACACACATTTATGTGAAAGTGAATTTGTGCATAATAGGTGCCCTTTAAAGCTATTAGGTTCGAACTCAAAGCTGGAATCAGGACAGCGAATGTAAGAAAACACCCAGAACTTAATTGGATGTAATTGGCGGGTGCAGCAGGCAGACTTGAACAAGTGATGAGGGCATTTGAGATGCGCCACGTCTGAGACTCAGAGTTTCTCCAGCTCCTGCAGAGCTCAGCTTTCTAATGAGAGGAGGAGGACAGACTGAGGAAGTGGTAATTGGATCCTCCCTGTCCTGTCGCCTGGGCATGTGTGGCAATGTGGCTGTGCTTTATTTAGATCCTCTAGGCAAACAGTCTCAGTTCTCCCATTGCCAGCAGCAACCGCAGAGCTTGTGAGAACAAACCACTCCTGCCCATCTTGAGCTCATTGGCTTGCAGAGCAGAAGTTTGCTCTCCGCAACTGCACTGCGCGGCAGCCATGCCATTATATTATAGACTAATGAGGCTGTGCTGACGTGCTAATTAAAGCTGGCTGCCTGTGCAGTACAGTACGCTTGGGATTTGGCTATTTTTGATCGTGTAATGCAGCTATATTAAATACACTTTGATCACTATTTACTTGCAAAAAGCAAAGTTTGGATTTGTAAAGTTGAATGCACATCCTTGCATTCTCAAAGTTCTCAAAGATGGCATGCTCAAAGTTAAGTAGTCATTTGCACCAGAAAGATTAAGGGCCCTATCATACACCCGGCGCAGTGTGGCGCAAGGCGCGGCACAATAGTCTTTTGGTAGTTTCAGCTTGGCGCAAGAGTCATTTTGAGGCGTTGCGCTACGCTGTTTAAATAGCAAATGCATTAGCGCTCATTTGTGCGCCCATAGGCGTTCTGGTCTAAAAAGGAAGGCGTTCTGAGGCGGATCGCTGGCGCGTTGCTGTTTTGAGAAACTATAATAGATTTTTCATTAGACCAAAACTAACCCGGTCTAAACTCCGGCGCAAAGTTGCGCCTCGCTTACGCACTGCTTAAAATGCACAAGAGAGCAATAGGCAAATATCTTTACATATGAAAAAATTTAAATATTAAGGATATATATAGGATATAATAAGAATAGATATAGGATATAAATATAAACGATTAAAATATTATGAAACATATTATTTTCTAGCTTACATAAATATGAAAAATCACTGCTTTTATGTCTTCTTCATCTCGGGAGGTTTTTTCAGATCATTCATAACAATTTGCTTTTGTATAATGTTATTATTATTAGCAGTATTATTTATTATATCCATATTTATATTTGTTTTATTGAAAACAAGCTTAGATTTGCCCACCTGTCAGGTTTAAGACCATAAGGGGCACAGCATGTGTTTTAGCATATAACTCAGGTTTTTGAGCACATTTTGTTATTATTATTCATTTATTCTTTTGCTTTAAATTAAAACTGAATTTAGAAATAGTTTTGAAACGAATATTTGCGCTTAACAAACAAAATAATTTATTTATAGACTAATTGATGTCTGTGCAAAAAGGTTTCCCTATCCAAAAGCGAATGTGAAAGTAGTTCCATTATCTCTCATTCTCACGCAGTAGATGCTCTGTTTAACAGTTTTCTGTTAAAAAACTGTTAACTGTTTGCTTGTGAAATGCTCATTTTTTCCACTTAGACTTACTTTGCGTCCTGTAAATAGCGAATGCGCTCTTGGACTCTTAAAGGGAATAGGAGATGAGACTGTAATTGGTTTATTCTCAAAACACATCTATAACTCATTAAGAAAATAAACTCAACCCTTTTAGACCATGCGCCGCGGTGCAAGGCAGATTTCCCATCCTTAAATTAGCAAAAACGTGTCCTGACACGCCCGAAAGCTTTTGCGCCCTGCGTTTTGCGATCGGCATGTTCTATATAAAAGCAACGGCACGTAATAGAAGGAATATTTTCACATTAAAATGAGTTTTTCCCCTAACCAACACCTTGCATAAAATAGAAACGGCTTCTATTGTCTGCAGCTGAACAACAGAACACTGACTATGATCACCTCAGGTACACCTCATGTGCTTTATTCAGCGTTAAATGCTAACAATGCGAGTTTGAATACCGTTTTACATGACACTTATTGCCATATTACTGAAAGCAGCAGCAGCAAACTCATGCAAGCCAACTCCTTTCAGTGATTAAGCATCTAATTTAAATTAATTTAAATTATGAATGTAAGTTGTAATATGTAAATTAGATTATAAACCTTGTCAGCGCCAATAGCCTAGTGATACCTAGTAATACATATCACGGAGGTGCTTGTGGTGGCCTGAGTTTGATTCCCGGCTCGGGTCCTTTGCCAATCCTACCCCTATCTCTGCTCCCCATGCTTTCCTGTATGTAAATCTCCACTGTCCTATTGAAATAAAGCTGAATGGTCCACTGGAGGTCGCATTTCAGTCACTTTAAGAGCCTTTCTGAATGAATGAATGAATAAATGAATGAATGAATAAAATATGTGGTTTTCCACCAAGGCAACCCGGGGTGCTGAAATATAGCTGAAATATATAATAATTGGCTAAACTGACATTGGGCGGGTTAAAAAAACCAAAACAAAAACAGAATTCCGGCACGTAACGCACATTTTTAAAGCACAGTATCTAACTTTAGCATTGTTTTTTTAGATAAACAAGAATGTATACGTTTCTTAAACATCTGCAAACATATTATCGTATTTGTATGCTTTAGAAGAGTCAAAAACTTCAAAACAGCATCTTTAATCCTTGTCCAGAGTCTGTGATTTGTTTTTGCAACAATATCGTGTAATGCTTAAAATGTCTTTGCACTCATTTAAAATATGGTTGTGTAAATCATTTCATCCACTTACACATGCACTCATCAACAGGCATTTCCAGACCTCAGGAAATTTTGTTGGCTGCAAATTCTGTGGAAATCTTTGAAAAAAGGTCTGTAAAAAAAGCATAAAAAATGCAAAAATAAATTTTAAATAATTAATGAATCGAAATAAAACATACAATTAAATATGATGATTAAAATATTAATAAATAAATTATAATGATAAAATATGATTAATTAAGACCAAAAACAATAATAAAAAATCAAACAAATAAATTAAACATCCAAATTTGATCAAAATAATACAAATAAATTTGATTTATACAAAGAAAACTAATACAAAAATATTATAACATGGGCGCCATGGTGGCTCAGTGGTTAGCACTGTTGCCTCACAGCAAGTAGGTCACTGATTCGAGTCCCGACTGGACCAGCTGGCATTTCTGTGTGGAATTCTCCGCCTGTTTGTGTGGCTTTATCTGGGTCTTTCCCCCACAGTCCAAAGACTTCCACTAAAGGTGAATTGAATAAAACTAAATTGGCCTTAGAGTGTGACAGTGTATGTGAATGAGTGTGTATGGGTGTTTCACAGTACTGGGCTGCGGCTGGAAGGGCATCTGCTGTGTAAAACATATGTGGGAATAGTTGGTGGTTTATTCCACTGTGGTAACCTCTGAAATAAGGACAAAAATCGAAGAAAAATAAATGAATAATATAACAATATACATTATGTATTGTGTATAAATACATAATAAAGAAACTATATAGATGCCTTTCACAGTTTAGTATGGAGCTCCCTTGCATGAGCATGTTCATATGTTCGAGGATCCACGTAAAACCATAGTATAGACAAGGAGACGACAAAGAATAAACACAAGCTGCAGGCCATTAAGAAAAAATAGGGAATTTATTGTATGTGGATGTGCTAGCAGATGTATCTCACAAGTGCTTCGTCTCAGGGTAAAGTCAAGCGAAACAGAAATAAAAAGGTTGTGCGCTGTTCTCCAGTGTGAGCGTGTGTGTGTCACACTCGGTGTGTGTCCCGCAAGTTTGTGTGCGTCCAGCTGCCAGACTCTGTTCTGCTGAGCATCAGTATGACTGACACTCCGGGGAACCTGGAGAAAAAGACAGAATAGAAGATCAGCACAGACACATACTGTACACCGACACTAGGGAGGTAAGACTGGTTATTAAGCACAGACTGAATGTCAAACTTTAATATGAGGTTTATTAATTATTGATATATAGAAGAAACAGATGCCCAAAACATAAAAATAGAGTTGAATAGTAATATGTAGAGTTGAAGTCAAAATTATAAGCCCTGCCTGTGTTTATTTCTGTTCTATTTCAAATATTTCCCAAATGATGTTTAGCAGATGAAGGAATTTTTCACAGTATTTCCTGTAATATTTTTTCTTCTGGAGAAAGTCTTTTTTGTTTTATTTCAGCTAGAATAAAAGCAGTTCTTACATTTAAAAAAACATTCTAATGTCACTACCCTTAAGCAATATATTTTTTAGTTCAGAGAAAAAGCCACTGTTATACTAATGTGTTTCCTAATTATTCTAACTTGCCTAGTTAACCCAGTTAACCAAAACACTTGACTACTTTGTTTATATTTTAGTAACTATAACTGACTTTTTATTCCCTTTGTGGTCTCATTTTATCTGTAACATTGTAAGCTGTGACATCGACTTGCTTTTTACTACAAACGCCGTTTTCGACTGTAAGTAAAATAGTAAACAATGTAAACATTTAGTCTTCGGCACAAACAAATGAATAACCATTCATAATTCAACATTACTGTGTCGGTGGACTAAATGTGTTCGATAGGATGATATTCTGAGGACTCTAACCTTTCAAAATAAACTGTGATTTACAAGAATAAATGTGTGTGTGTTGTTATTACGATACACAAATACAACTTGTACAAATATAGCAAATACATTCGTTATAAGCTTGCTATTGAGAAACAACTAGCTACAAAGGCTGCTTGAGGGTCGTCAATATTACTCATGTTCTTTCTGATGTAATCTATTGGCAAACACTGAAATCTGCAAAAACAGCATCCCAGTGCGCCCACGTCCTAATGCTGGCTATTAAGCCTTTAAATAGCACTTTGAGCTGAATACTAGTGTCTTGCAAAATATCTAGTAAAATATTATGTGCTGTCATCATGACAACGATAAAATAAATCAGTTATTAGAAATGAGTTATTAAAACTATTATGTTTAAAAATGTGTTGAAAAAAATCTTATATCCGTTAAACAGAAATTGAAGAAAAATATACAGGAGGAGTCATAAGATATAATTCAGGAGAGAAAATAATAATTAATGAATAATCAAAATTAATGTCTGTATAATGTTGTTTTTATGATCACCAGCAATCTAGTGGCTACAATATATGGACTACAGGTTCCAGTCATGCACTGCTCAAACACACCTGCTCCTCATTCCGTTGATTTTGGCTGAGAGCTGCTCATGAACTGATTACATGAACTATATACACAGCACACACGCAGACCTCTTTGCTGACTCTTATTATACTGTGTTGTAAACATTGCAATGTATTTTCCTTGCCTTGCTTTGCCATGTTAGACCCTTGTTTAATTGTTTATTCCTGTCTGCTGCCTGCCTTCTCACCACTTGCCTGATATTTGACTACGACTCTGGATTTTCTGTGTATATCTGTTTGATCCTGTGTTGGCCATTGTTTGCATGACCTTTCTCCTGTCAATAAACCTGCATTTGGATTTGCAACATGATTGTCAGCGTCCACATCACATTACAGTTGTCTACTGAAACACTTTCATTTAATTCATGCTTTGCTATAATCTTTAGCTTGTTTTTAAGCTATAATCTACACTTATAATAAATAATTTATACATGATTATTTCCCTACATAATGCATTAATTAAAAACAAACAAACAAGAATCGCTTTTGACATTATTCACATGTTAAATAACCAGATCATGTTTTGGCCATAAAACCTGTAATACGTGCTGTCTGCCTTTCCCGTAACATATTCACATAGTCTTGCCCATTGTGTGCGACAAAGTCTACACTGCAAGCGTGGCAAAACAGACAGCAAAAAAACTAGGCCATCCCCATTATAATCAACAAATCTGTCTACACGGCAAGACTGTCAGAAGGACAAACACAGCAGAAAACACCACTTTGAATTTTAAAAACCTGCACGCCAAGCACAGCCTTGACGTTATGAAAAAGCCAACTATTCTCAGCCAGCCCTGTTGCAGTGAAATACAAGTTAAAGTTCAAAGTTTGGATGGAACTTATAGTTATTATTCATATTATAGTTTTACTTTTAGTCATTTTACTAATTCAACATAAAGAAGATACATGTTGATTTCAGAAAGCCTTGTTTTTAGTGAAACAGGTGACATGTAAGTAATTTATTTAACATACAATCGACTGAACATGCTGTAATCCAATGATCTGATACAGTATATTCTTATTTATAGATTTTTCTTCAGCTTTTAACAAAATGTGTTCTCATATTTCATTCTAGAGACTTTCACTTTCAACTATGTAACAATCTTGTTGGCTGGATTTTAGACTTTCAAACCAATAGAACACAAAGAGTGCATGACATACGGGTAGTTTGATGTATAAATCAGCAGTACAACATGCAAGAATCGTATTTCATGTAGTAAATGTACACCAGGTACTGATGAAACCTAAAGAAAGAACCACTGAAGTCACATGGAATGTGTTTGGTTCCTTTTCTGGACTTTGAGTGTCCAGAAGATTTTTTATTTACATTTTTTAAGGACAACAGTATCTCCAGCAGATAGCCAAAGATGCTGTTTAAATTGTACAGAAATCTGTGTTTTTGAAACAAATGAAGACAGCAGAAGTCATTGATTTATTTGAATTATGTATCTTGACGTGTTTACTTTTTCAAAAATTTTAAATGTTTTTTAGGTTTTGTTTTAAAGATTTATTTTTTTTACCCAGACATTTAAAAAGAAAATATTTTAGATAAGTAATTAAAATACCGTAATACCATGAAAGGTTACCAAGGTTATCATACCATCAGAATCTTATACCAGCTACATAAGGGTGATTAATTAATAACAGAATTTTCTATTTTGTGTGAACTAATCCTTTAATGTTAAGACGGCACTTGTTTTTTTTGTCAGTCAAACTGATAACACAAAGTGCTGGATTAATATAGTAACAAAATCCAGGTCATTTAAATACGTCAGGTGGTTATGCAGTTCCAGCATACCTGGGGTGTGCTGAAGAAACAAAGGGAGTGGACAGAGCAGAACAGCAGGACACAGATGTAGCACCTCCTGGAGGTACACACTCGCTCTCTCTGCCTCTCTATCCATCTTTGACTCCAGCTGAGCTCTGAGAGGTGACGAGAGGCCAAGGAGAGAAGGATCACGAGAAAGGCATTTCCCATCTCTGTGTGTGTGCCGACAGCTCGCACGGGCTGATCACCAGCATTTTACTGCTCTCGATGCCATCCAGAGCCATCTCACTGTCCACACAGAAACGAGACGCCAGGTGCTCCAGGTGAGTGCCAGATTTCTGCCAGCGCTGCAGGAGGCATGAACACATGCATAAGTACCAGGGCTGCTCAATATATCCTTTTAGCATCAATATCACAATGTGTGTTACATTGAAGGATCTGCAGTGTCCGATTTAGATTATAATTGACAAGAAAATGTAGAGCATGCTAAATTTGATCAATATGAAATATTTTTAAATATGTTTTTTAAGGCCTGTTACATTCACTGTCAAGTTGATTTTTAACCATAGGTCTCAAACTCGATTCCTGGAGGGCTGGAGCTCTGCACAGTTTTGCTTCAACCCTGATCAAACACAGCTGATCCAACTAATGAAGGTGTTCATAACTCTTTAGGACACCTCGATTATTTGGATCAGCTGTGTTAAAGCAAAACTGTGCAGAGCTGCTGCCCTTTTGGAATTGAGTTTGAGACCTATGATTAGGTCCACACGGAATCTGCATGTGCAAAAATCTGCATTTTTGATTTCGATAATTATTTTTAAATTAATATTTATTCAGTTTTAAAAATTAATTTCAGTAATAATATTGACAAAATAAATGTGTTCATTTGATATATTTAGAATTCAGTTTGTAAAGTAATATTTTCTGTCTATTAGTAGATATATTATATACTTGCTTTGTTTACGAAATAAGTGGATGTAGATGGATTTGCATTGTAAACATTAATTACAAGCTAAAAAGCAACTTTTTTTATTTTTCATATATTAAGTTTTTAGTTACTGTATGATACTCCCAAAATCATTCTGCATAAAGTCGCAGATTACAAAATTCTTAGCAGAAATATCAAAAAATGTTGCAGATTCTGTCTTGCCCTGTCTATGATTTAAACCATATAGGTACAAAAAATTGTAAAGTTTGCCACTTTGACAAATACTAATTGCATTTAATTAATTTATACAATAAAGACTATATGAAGTGTTATTTTACATAATGAATTTCTATGCTTCAATTTCTATAGTTCGACTCGACAGTTTAAAAGTTTTCTACATATATTTTTGGTTAGACATGTAGTTTAGATATGGCGTGCAAATGCTGAAGATGTTTCTATTAGGGTTCTATTAGTTTAGAGGATAATTTTCAGCCAGTTTGGGGTTTTTGTTATATTGCTTTCTTTTATTTGTCACAGCTTGAAATCCTCTTTTTCTTAATAACATACATTAACTGATTTATTTTTCTTTTGTGAGACACTTAAACTTGTACATATTATTTTTGCTGTTCGAATTCTTTTCACTTTTGTCAATGATTTACTTATTTTTGCATTATTTGGTGGTCATTTTGCTATAATTGCCACCAACTCTACAAATTAATTCATACCAAAATGTTACCTCTTTAAGCCCTAGAGCTAAACTTTAGTCGTAACACATGGACATAGAAAAATTAAGACCCGTTTCAAATTATGTAAGACCTACAACACAATATTTCAGTGAATCTAAAATTTAGTTTTAGAAATTTAAGATATTTAAAGACTTTATAAGACCCCATGGACACGCTGATAACTAATTATCATGGTTTCACTTTTCCTTGATAAAATGACAATGCGTTTAATCAAGGTCTGATATGTTATGTTGTAATGATATAATGCAGGCTTGAAAGTGGAACTAAATAGTCCTGCTTGTTTGTGCCATGCAATCAGCTAATCCATTCCCGCAAATCACACTCTAAAGCAGCACAAGTTCAGGTTTGTTTACTTGTGGATTGGTCTCAAATCGATTATGTTTACATATTGCATTTCTATACTTCCATACTGTTCGACTCCACTGAAAACCTTAAAGCATTGTTTATTTCATTTTAATTTTTGTTCTGTTGTTTTCATATGTGCTTATACTATTTTGTATCATTTAGTATATTTTATGCAGATGCACTCACCTACAAATCATTCCAATCAATATATAAAATAAGGAATTCTTTCCTTTCCTTTCCTTTCTTGTAAAACTACATTCACATTGCAGAAAACAAAATATTGCAATGACAGCTTTTTTTCCAATATCGTGCAGCTCTAACAACTATACATCGTCATGTAATAAAACGTCATAAAACGTCATGTAATATAGAGTGTAGCATGCATTCATACATCTCATTGCACACACACTTAAAAACAAAGAAGCAAAAACAAAACAAAGCAATGTTTTCTGATGCTACAGTGTGCTGCATGTCCCTGACACTGACATGACGAATGTGATGTGTGGAAATGCTGACACCGGCCTGAGAGTAAAGCCTCTCCTGAGGGGCTGTCTAACGCTGGAACTGATACTCATAGAGCTGATGTCAGTGGCTTCCTCCGGGAGCTTTCTAAGTGCGGCCTGATTTATGGTCTGTCACGGATGTCTCCTGTGCTTTCGTCGGGATTGACTGCAGCGGAGGTACCTGCTTGCCGTCGCTGATGTTGCACGGCATGAGTAGGATCTGGGAGGCAGGGAAAGTGGTGGAGACGGACAGACAGTACTGCTGCTGGCGGATTTGCTGTCCGTGGGTGTAGATCCACTCCTGTGGAGGAAAGAAAGCAAGCTTTTCTCATGCTGAAGTGACACAGAATGAAATCAAAAAGCAAAGGCAATTCCTTTACAACTGGTTCCGTGCATTGCACTCCTTTGATGAATGTACATATATCTTTCGGCTGTTTTAACGATGAAGAAACAACTTTTGGGAAAACAGACTCTCTCAATCCAATTGTTGTTGTTGTTGACGACTGAATATGAGCATTTCATTATAAGTTTCCCACCCCTAAACACTGAGCCTCCTGGGCACCACTGAGAGCTGTCTACTAAAATCTGTCAATTACTTTTCAGCTTGACCAATAGCGAGAGAGTTTGGGGCGTGGCTACTTCAGCAGACAGGCTGAGACAGATGGAAGTTAGCTACTGTGGGATCATGACTGTCTAATCACATGGGAAAATAAATTCAAATACCCATACGTATGGACACAATCTGAAAAAATATTTAAAATATCCAGAGACAAAACAAGGATACACGCTGGCAAAGCGGCAAAGCTTTTACAAGTGGGAGGAATGTTTTTGCAAATGTACTGTCAAGCTCCCATCAGAATATGAAAATACTGTAAACATACAGAATAGCCTCAAGAGGGTATTATATTATACAGCTGGGATGTCTGGTAAAACCTATCAATTGTATAACCGAATAGCAGTGGGTGGAACCTAAGGTAAAATAATGTAGGGTAGTGTACTCGCCTTTGACATCTGGCTAAGGGACCACCAATGAAAACAAGTCTTTGGGCCAGTTATTTGGTACATTTACATTCTTGCAGAACATTGATTAATGTACAGGTACATTAAAATAAATAAACGGACAAAATAAAATAAACATTAATGCTATGTCTAAACTACACGCATGTTAAACTCGATGTTGTGCAGACTAATCAACATCCCAGCAGGCAACCAACATCATATAACCTAGGTATTTGGTTATATTTTGGTTGCGACATCAAGGAGCAAAATCCAATATCAGTTTAACGTCAATTGACGTCATAATAAGACGTCTATACAACGTCAGTATAACATCAGTAGACGTTGATCTTTGGTTGGTTTTAGATTGTGGAATAAACCAACCAAAGTCCAACATCATCTAAACGTCATAATGTGACGTCCATACAACGTCAAAGTCTCACATCAGTAGTCGGTGATTTTTGGTTGGTTTAAATTTGTGGCATTAACTAACAAAAATGCAACATCTGCCTGGCGTTGGACATTGACATCTGTCTGACGTTGGGTTCTAACGTCAACCCGATTTTCATTTCCAGCCAAAATGCAACATCCCCATGACGCTGGACATTGACATCTGTCTGAAGTTGGGTTCTGACGTCAACCTAATTTTCGTTTCCAACCAAAATCCAACGTCCTGTGCCTGCAGGCATATGACTTGCATGCTGGTTAAACATTTTGTAAATCGTGAGAGATCACCGATGCCATGACAATGTGGCATTTCATCCAAATACTGTTGATCAAAACCCAATGTGTTTTTTTTTTTAATTAAAAATATCAAGTTTAGCTAATGCTCACAAACACATGTTATTGAAACAACAGGAATTCATGTAATGTTTTACTGTGTCATGTTGAAAATAATAAAAAAATAATAAATAATAAAAAAACAGCACATAAATAAATGAATGAAAGGTGTATCTGTTTCTTTATGATATCTAAAACACCTGTGTTTGTGACTAATATTGTAGGAATCGAAGAAGAATTTGTCCAGAAAGCCAGATGCTACTTCCGTGTTCTCGATTATTAAAGTTGTCAACCACTGATTGTTTGAGAAGCAATGTGCCAATGACTAGCTTGGATAATAACATTATCGTGTAGTCTAAATCTTGCATAACACATGGTGTTAGTTTGCTCTAGAACTAGTCTTTGGGCCAATGCATTTGCCTGTCTGACAGACCCAAAAGCAAACCATTTTTGAAGCTTGATTACATAAATGTTTGCTATAACCAGAAGGCTATTTTAAATTATGAAATATGTACAGTAGGAGGTGCCACTGGCACAAAGCCCATTTATATGTCAAAAGATCAGGGGGAAATTTGATGGCATTATCTTAATAACGTTTAAAACTGGTAAGTCTATTCTTGACAGTAATGTCACGGGTTTACTTCACAATTCATCCTTCCGGCATTTACATTCATGCATTTTGCAGACACTTGTATCCGAACCAATTTGCAAGGGAAGAAAATAAGCAATCTGTCACAGGGGCTACAATATTCATAGTATACAATGCCAGGTTTATTAAGCAACTAGATTAGGAAACAAGCTAGAGTATTACATTCTCGTTCATTTAAAGATGTCTGTTCTAATCTGTCAGCTCCACTTAACTGGTAAACAGAGAGCGAGGGAGAGAAGTTGGAAGAATACAGCATATTTTCCCTTTGCTTTGAAAAGGTGGTCTCATTTGCTGTTCTGAGACACGTAGTGAGAAGATGACACAGAAGGGCAACGTGAAAATGTACTTTTGTGAGCCATGCTGATGAACCGCTTCCCATCTGGTGAGTCTTACAGACGCTTAACAAGGTCACACGCAGCAGGCAGTGGGGAAATATGCTCTTGTGGTGTTATGAACACACTTAAGTGCTCTGAAATCACTTCTGTGGTGTTCTGGACCCAAATCTACAGTCTGTCATCATCTCTGAGCTTCATAATTTAGAATAAACATTTGAAATATTCAAATTTTTATGGTGCACAATAGAATGAGAGATAGAGAGAGAGCGAAAGTCCAACACAATATCGCAGCAATTTATAACTTTTTGATTTAGTGGCTAATTTCTATGAATTTGTACAGTCTCATTCTTATTTTTCAGTTTGATTTGCTCATCCTCCAACCATCTCCAGATTGGAGGAAAGTCCTTACCCTAGATGGAGGAGTTCAATTATATTGGGGTTTTGTTCATGAGTGAGGGGAGGATGGAACATGAGATTGACAGGTGGATTGGAACAATGGCAGCACTAATGCGGTCGATGTATTGGTCCATTGTGGTAAAGGAGGAGCTGAGCCGAAAGGCAAAACTCTCAATTTACGGTCTATCTACAGTACGTTCCTTCTCTCACCTATGGTTATGACTCGAGCTTTGGGTCATGACCGAAATGACAAGATCTCAGATACAAGCGGCCGAAATGAGTTTCCTTCACAGGGTGGCTGGACACACCCTTATAGAGAGGGTGAGGAGCTCTGACACCAGAGAGGAGCTCGTAGTAGAGCCGCTGCTCCTCCACATCGAGAGAAGTCAGCTGTGGTGGCTCAAGCATCTGTTTTGGATGCCTCCTGGACGCCTACCTAGGGAGGTGTTCCAGGCATGTCTAACCAGGAGGAGGTCTCAGGCAAGACCGAGGACACGCTGGAGGGACTGTCTCTCAGCTGGCCAAGGAATGCCTCGGGATCCCCCCAGAGGAGCTGGAGGAAGTGTTTGGGGAGAGGGAAGTCTGGGGTTCTCTCCAAAGACTGCTGCCCACGCGACCCAGCCCCGAAAAAGCAGATAAAAATGAATAAAAGAATGAATGATTTGCTCATCCCTCAAGGAGGAATATTGGTGGTCTTTCTTTTTTAAAAATATTTCTGAATAATATAATTAATTCACATAAATTAGCCAACATGTAAAATAGTTTCCTTGAGAGATCAGGCTGGACAGTCTAAGGTAAGGCTGGGTGATAAAATGATAATCAGGATTTCTGCATGTTTCACCAAGTCAATAGGATTTTTAAGACTTTAATAAGACTATTATAAATGAAATTTCAGATTTATACACGACTAAATGCTAAGATTTTTTTTTAATGCCCCAGTTGGTCCAATAGAAATATTTTTTTTTTACTTGCCTCATCAAAAAAGTTCTTAGCCACATATTAAATAGAGCATCAAAACAAGCAAACCCTAGTTGCATACATTCTTTTTTTCAACATAACTTTTTAAAAAACTATAATAAACTAAATGTATGCACAACAGTCTGTCCAGGAGATTTTTAAAAAGTTTTACCGAAATGTATTTTTGGTGATTGGACACAAATGTGGAAGCTCTCTTGCTTTTGTCTTGCTTGCCTTTCTGTTCTTTTGTGGGTTTTGGCTTGCGTTGTGTGATATTATGTTGACTTGACTTTAGAATTTGATTTTGTTCTTGTTTCAGTTGTAGACTGTTACTGTTTTGTACATATTTCATAATCCTTGATCATTGGTTTCTTAATTCCCCTGAAAATCTACGAGTTTAGCCATCACTTTGTAACACGCAGAAAACTCCACTGTCTAAACACACCAGTTTAGAAGTGAGCACCACTCGCTGTAAGTGTTATATATATATATTTTTAGTTAAAAGTGTAGTTAAGATAGGGCATCCAAATGCTGAAGATGATTCTATTAGGTAGTTTAGAGGATAAATATCAGGTTTTTGACATGTTGCTTTCTTTTATTTGTCACAGCTAGAAATCCTCTTTTATTCTTAATAACATACATTAACTGATTTATTATTTTTTGTGAGATACTTAAACTTGTACATATTATTTTTGCTGTTTGAATTCTTTTTAATTGTGTAAATAAATTAACTTATTTTTGCATTATTTGATGGTCGTTTTGCTATTATTGCCACCAACTCTCTACAAATTAAGTCACATCAAAATGTTACCTCTTTAACCCCTAGAGCTAAACTTTAGTCGTAACACATGGACATGGAAAAATTAAGACCCGTTTCAAATTATATAAGACCTACAGCACAATATTTCAGTTGTAATACATGTACATAGACAAATTAAAACCTGTTAAAATGAAAACGTTCTTAAAATGTAAGATATTTTAAGACTTTTTAAGACCCCATGGACACCCTGATAACTAATTATCATGGTTTCACTTTCCTTGATAAAATGACAGTGTGTTTAATAAATGTTTAATATGGTGTTATTATGCATGCTTTAAAGTGGAACTAAATGGTTCTGCTTGTTTTTGCCACGCAAACTGTTAATCCATTCATGCAATTCACAGCCTAAAGCAGCACAAGTTCAGGTTTGTTTACTCGCGGGTTGTTCTTAAATCGATTATGTGAGCAGCTCTAAAGAAAAGCGCTTAAATTGAGCAAAGAACGCAAATGTCTCATGATTTAGTTTAAAGGCAGATGAAACAGTGCTTTTGTTCTCAATAGCACTGAAAAACAGAGGAAACACTGTTACCATGAATGATCCAGTTAAAGGCTATTTGTTGATTTACTATTTATTCACTGTAGTTACTGCACCATAATATTGTGGTAGGATTGGGAAATACTATACACACATGAACTTTGTTCATTTATTAATTTTCCTTCGTCTTGGTTCCTTATTTATCAGGGATCACCACAGTGGAATGAACCACCAACTATTCTGGCATATGCAGCAGATGCCCTTCTAGCTGCAACCTAGTAATGGGTAACACATGACCTTTATATTATTAATTTGTCCTTCCAGGATATTGTGAGTCCAATGGTTCTGGAAATCAAAACAGATCAATTTTCATGATAATTTTCATTATCTTTTTTAAATCACTTCCTAAAACGCACCTTTTTAGCTTGGCTTTTTAATATTATTTTATTAGTCCTTTCTACTGCTACATTTTTAAATTTTAGACGTTTCATTTGTCTTATTTCTATGTTTTGTATTCTGTCTTTTTATTGTTACTTTTTCTTATGTACAGCACTTTGTTCAGTCTTGTAACTGTTTGTAAATGTGCTCTATAAATAAATGAACTTGAATTTAAACTTGATTTTTACAAGATTTTATATATTTTTATAACAAAACACAAAAATGAAGCAAATAATGCCTTAAGTTTTGAAAAAAGGTAATCCCAAAAGCGCTTATTTTAGGTCACAAATATCAAATAAAGAAATAGAAAAGTCCCTGAAATCTCTTGGAGGGTCTAATTCATGTAGATGTGGTAAATGAATGAAACGATTATAATATAATATAATTATTACAATAATTGCTGTTATTAAGCTACCCCTATTATGCAATTTAAGAATTGTTTCAGTTTCTGTTTATTGCTAAAGCACATTTAAAAACAACAGCACTTGACCAAAGTGTGGTACATAACAGTTCATAAAACAAACAACAATAAGATACAGAGAACAGAAAGAAAAAGCACAGCTCTCAATGAATAAAAATGTGTTTTAGGACTAGTTTTAAAAGCAGACAAAGTTTTGGCCCTCCTTACAGACAATGGTAATGAATTCCAGCTATTGCAAAGGTACAATCTCCCCTGTGTTTCGAAATAAGGAGCATAAGGTCAGCAGACCTCAGAGACCTGGACGAAGTGTGCAATTGAATTGAAGATCAGAAAGTCAGGTTGGGGCAAGGTCATTTAAAGCTTTAAAAACAAGCACTAAAACCTTAAAATCAGTTCTAAAACGGGAATCCAATGAAAGTAAGCCAGTCCAGAGGAAATGGGTTCCTTTTTAAATGTTCAAATTAGGGCTGGGCAATATGGCAAAAACACAATCTCTATAATTATTTTTCATGTTAAACGATAATAATATATATTTCAATATAAGTTGGTATTGCTTCCATATTTAAAAGAGTACCCCATCAATGACTGAAGCCACAAAAATTAGAGGGTCCATTAAACGGCATAACATTTTTGGCTGATACATTTTCAGTGGAAAAAAATTCAGTGCATCTCTAATATCAACACACTTTTAGATTCCTGTTGTTGCACATTTCTGCTGTGTGATTGGCTCTTAGATCAATGTAGGGTTAAAAAAAAGTCCAGAGCTTATCATTGTTATTGACATAAATTTTATTGCGATTCTATATAATATCGTTTATGAGCCCAGCCTTAGTTCAAATTTAATCTTATTAAATTTAGTCTTGCAAAAATCTGCAAGCCTTAGCTGATAAAACCTTGACTGTGCAACAGTACTTATCAGTTTGTAAAGTTTAAAATTCATATTCATCATTACAGCCAATTTTTTAACAGCGGTATTAGCATGGGAAAGCAAAGAGCCCATCAGTGTTAGCAGCTGTATTTGTATCTGTTAGGACTAAAAATCATAATGTTAGTCTTGTTCTCATCATTCATGCATTTTCTTTTTGGCTTAGTCCCATAATTAATTAGGGGTCGCCACAGCGGAATGAACCACCAACTTATCCAGCATATGTTTTACTCAGCGGATGCCCTTCTAGCCGCAACCCAACACTAGGAAACCTTGTTCTCATTAAAATGTAATAATAAACATTAATTTCTAAATATTTTTTACAAAAATCATCTCCCTTTAAATTTTTTAATTTGCATAGAGTCTTTCAATCATGGTCCCTAAAGCATGTTTTAATATAATAAAGTATAATTAATCAATCAAACATTTTAATATTAATATAATGTATCATTCTTTTTTTGTATGTCATTTTGAATGATAACTAATGCAGTATTGACAAAATGCAAACAATTCTTCATCAAATTTTACCTCTGTGTCCATCTCTACAGCCCAAATTACATTTAAGGAATTGAATAGGCTTTAATAGCCATTCTCAATTCAATTTCGAATGACGCACAACACTGTTTTTTCACCAGGTCTCATGAGCAGGTGAGAGAGCCATGAAGGTTGACAGTAGGGCAGATTAGCTGCGTGGAGACCAGAGGGCACCTCTTTGTTTAATATAATTACACAGCAGTGCACAAATGTGACCTGAATTAAATCCCATTACCCTGCTGTAAAAGCTGCCCTTTCAACATGCCCCTGGTAACATAGCATTTAATGTAATCTAGCATCTCCGAGTCACTGCCTAACAGTGTGAGATGTCACCGATTCCCGACACCGTGAGAGTAAAAATACACACTACCTTCGCTTGACCAAATTGTTTAGGGTAAAATATGACCACAGTGCTTTCACGATATGCTTTATGTAATCATTAAAACATGGGTACACTTTTTTGCCAAACTCAAATGACCAAAAGATAATGCAGGTAGAGCTAATTCTGCAAGCAACATTATTAAAACTAAAGGTTCCTTATTGGTATAGAGTGGAGGAACTATGACGTCAATTTGTATGCAAGAACCCGGAAGCGAGTTAGCATTTTAGCAGTTCCGGTTCCCTCATCCCAAAGTCAATGAGTTTTTTTAGTGGGATTTTGGTTAAATTGCTTAAATAATGTTCGTGGCTACCACAAACTCGAGATACTTTTACATTTTGTTCTACGACATAAAACACATCAGTTACACAGTTGCTATCAAGCTGCTATGTCGGAGAAATTGTACGTCATCGAGCTGAACTGGTCTGGAACACAGCCCGCTTGAGTTGGGCATTTGGATTTGTCTGTTATTTAAGCATTTTTATAAATAGTATTTTATAGTTTGTATTATTTTTCTAATTGAGCATTCATATTGTGTGTTGCATTTGCTTAAACTTGAATTGAACTTTTAATAAATCTGTTTTATGAAAATTCTGCTTATCATAGTGTAGCTGTCTCTTTATTGCTTTCACTAATGCAAACATGTGAAAAAATAGGTACAAATAAATAAATATTTAATGAGATTTTAACGTGATTGCTTTACATTAACATACATCTAATCATTTTTTGACGTTTTTTTTTTTTATCCGAACACATTTAACTGTATGTCATGTGTAACTGTAATATGTACGCTCACCTTAAAAAAATATATAGCATATGTGAATGTATGGGCTGCTTTTCGCTGTACTTCGTGAAAAAAAAAGGATATTGAATGTTGTTCTCTATCCATTATGGGACTTGCAGGCATTTTACTTAGGTAAGCGGGCTGTACGCGCACAATAAACTTATGTAAATATAACTTATGATAATAATAGGCACATTTATAAAACATACTGTACGGTACGTTTTTTAAAACATTTTTTAATAACTGTAAAGCGAAACAAATGTATTTCTTACAAGAAATCTATCCAAAAGGTACCCAAGTCTTTATACAAATGTGCTTTTTTTTTTTACATATTTAAATATAATATACAGGGTGGATTATAATATAATAAATTAAGAGAGTAAATCTTTGACATGGACCATATTTCGAAAAATAAGCTTAAAACATTGTCGTTAGCAGTGGTCCTGACATACCAAGAGAGCGCCCTGAAGTCAGTGTAGTCTGTTTATAGCCTAATGTTAGCTTTTCAGTTCTTACATTTGCATTTAGGACCCACAAGAGAAAAAAGTGATATCATTGTGGAAGGATTATCTAGTTGGACACAATGTGTGAGTGTAATGAACTGTTTGAACATACAGCTTATTACTTGCAATCTTCAAAAACACTATGGGAAAATCCTATGGGGATTTTGACGAGGGAACCAGTTTTATGCTAACAGCCGATTGGTCTACAAGGTGACGTCATAGTTCATCCACTCTATTGATGGTTCCATGAAGGAAATATAGCATCCATAGAACCTTTCCTTTCAACAAAAGGTTCTTTATGGAGAAAAACTTCTTAAGGCTTCTTAAAATGTTCTTTGAGGAACTCAAAATGACTCTTCTATTGCATTTGTGTTAAAACCTAATTTTGAAATCTTTATTTTAAAGAGTGAACGATAGAAGTATTTATTGATATAGAAAAAGAAAGCTGCTTATTTAATAATTAATGCATGCTCCTTCTGATATTATGTCATGGAGTCTTGTACCTGATTGGCTGCTGGTGTCTCTTTGGTGATGATGCAGGGTGCGAGTGTGAGCACTGGGAGATCCTGGCCTTCGACTACTCGAGACTCTAGACAGTTCTGTCTCTGCCGGATCACACCAGACTTGGCATCAGAATCATCAGGTACTCTGGATCGAGGGAATTAAGCACAATAGTATTATAATAACAAATATACAGAATAAAGGGTACACTTAAATGAGGTCTCAATTCTTGCTCCTAAAGGATATTGTATTTAGAGCGGTTGCTATAATACTCAATACCTCACTGTATGTCATATACATACACAGAGTGACCAAAGAGCCTGTATTTATATGAAAACTCAACATAAAGATTTTTATGAAAATTCAGCCACAAAAAGCTATAAATAGCCCATGAAAATATCAACGTGAAATGAACATTTAAATAAAATGCATTTGTTTTGTAAGTTCTTAAGTTGAACATACCTGAATTATTCATCCAAGTACATCTTTCAATTACCTTTTTACCTTTAACTCAATCGTCCAATGAAAATTCCAAAGGTAAGCAGCACATTTCATAAGATTCATTGAATTTTTGAGTGCACCTCAAATTCTATCTAACAACTGAAAGACAGAAACTAGTGCCACTCAACATTTTTTCCATCTTTGAAAATCTGGCAAATATATAAGTACATTACAAAGAAATTCAAATGCATTTCTCTTTGAACATGTCCATTTGTCCAAGAACTTTATCCAAACTTTGTCCAAAAAAAACATTAGTTTGTTGCTTTTTTGAGAGAATCATGTCCATTTGTCCAAGAACTTCATCCAAACTGCCCAAAAAACATTAGTTTGTTGCTTTTATAAGAAAAGCTTAAAGAAAATTGAGATATTTGAGAATCTCCTAAACTGTAACAGGAAAGCTTCTGTGTATTTAAATGAATACTTAACATTTTTAAATTGAAGTTTAGTCTGTTAGTTTTACTTATAAATGTGCTCAATGTGTCATTAAAAGCAGGGATGATGTTGAGATTATGTTGATAAAACTCATCAGCTTCAGTGTTTCAGGGTCATTGTTCGCAGATAGCCATAGACTGGCATTACGCAAATGTATTACAGATCTTCAAATATCAGTTATTGAAGTGAAACTGGAGTCTCCGATAACTCATTTTGGCAGTTCATATTCAATTATTTCATTAACTGTTAGCTATAATATATGCAGTAGGTCCTGCATGAATGATGATATTTAAAGATCACGTGAAGCGCTTTGAAATGTGCAATTTTTATTCGATGTTTGACATAATCTCAACTGGAAAATGAATAAAGGGTAGGATGTAGAGTAGCTTCTCCCTATTTACAAAAACAGACAATAGAATTTATTTTTTATCACAGCTCTGCCAGTTAGAGTCGTTGAGATCAAGCACATCAAATGAAAAGCAAATGAGAAGTGTCTTGAAGGGGGAAGGACATATGTGATACTAGTGAGCATTTAATTGGTCAAGATTTCATGGAACAACTGAAGTATGAGGTGACATGAAAAAACACGATCCATTTTGTCGTGACAAACTGCAAGCTGTGGATGTTTATATCAGTATTATATTTTTTAAATGCAAATTTTATCTGTTTTGGGGCACACATACTCAAACTAACAGTCTGAAACTAACATCTAAAATGTTTTATCTTAATTTCATGGGACCCTTAAAAAGTAAGATGTAGGCCTTTAACTAAAATTGAATTTTTTGTTAACTAATTTATGTCAACATACTGAATAATACACGCACACCACACACACACACACACACACAAAAAAACCCTGATTATAACATACTAGTTTTTGAAGGACAACACGCATAACAAACATACAATATATGAAATCTGCCTTAGTGGGTGGAAAGTCTTTCCATTGAGACAGACGTGAGCAGACAGACAGCACTAGCGAACTACAAAACAGCTTTAGGCACAGAGGGGCCATACGCTGCCGTGCTAAATAATAACATGGCACTTTACAATCATCAATCACCACCCGCAGACACTCAAATACACACACCGCACTGACTCCTCAACTCACTTGAGCTCCGGATAGACGTTGTCCAGATACCACTTGAAGGATTTGCAGTTGAGACTCTTGCGGAGCTCCTGCCTGCCGTGAATGCTGATAAGAGAGAAGAGAATGAGCGGAATAAGAGATGAATCTTTTCCCTAATGCCTCCTCATTATGCAGCAGATATACACACATAAACGCACACGAGCTATCAGTCACTCACTCTCCATAGGATTTTCCCCTGGCAGCTGGTCGAGCCGAGTAGTAGAACAGTTTGAACTCATCCATCCAAACCTCAGCGGTCCTTCTGGTGTTCCTGAAACAAAGTGCATTGAGTATGAATGTTAAAGTGTTCCCCAAAAAATAAAGAAGACTTGTCAAATCGTAGCCATGAAATATTGTGTGTGCTGTACATAAAGGTTGTGAAAAGATCCGCCACAGACTTTCAAATGCACACTAGATTGTCGAAGAAGAAAAACACATTCAATTCTATACCTATTAGTTGTTGGTTGGATTTTGAGAGTGTTCTGGGTTTTTACATTCAGATGAACTATATAAATAACCTTCTGGGGTCTGAGGTGATTTTGGGGCAACTAAGATGTTTTGACATGCCCTGACAATTGTTATTACAAAGTATTTGCCAACATGTATGTGTGGATGTATGGATGTATGTATGTATGTATGTATGTATGTATGTATGTATGTATGTATGTATGTATGTATGTATGTATGGATGTATGTATGTATGTATGTATGTATGGATGTATGTATGTATGTATGTATGTATGTATGTATGTATGTATGTATGTATGTATGTATGTATGTATGTATGTATGTATGTATGTATGTATGTATGTATGTATGTATGTATGTATGGATGTATGTATGGATGTATGTATGTATGTATGTATGGATGTATGTATGTATGTATGTATGGATGGATGGATGGATGGATGGATGGATGGATGGATGGATGGATGGATGGATGGATGGATGGATGGATGGATGGATGGATGGATGGATGGATGGATGGATGGATGGATGGATGGATGGATAGATAGATAGATAGATAGATAGATAGATAGATAGATAGATAGATAGATAGATAGATAGATAGATAGATAGATAGATAGATAGATTTATTTAAGAGAGTGTTTTTAAAAAAACATAGATAGATTTATTTAAGAGAGTGTTTTTAAAAAAACATAAACTTTTGTTGCCCAAAAATGCTGTTGGTGAAGACGGAAGGCCAAAACGGAGTAAAAAATGTGTTTTAGATGAAAATGTATTAGTGTGAACATGGTCATAGTCTGACATCTGAAAAAAGTAAAGTAAAGTAAAGTGAAGTAAAGTAAAGTAAAAAAGGAAAATTTAACATTTAGCTCTGCTTCATTTAGCTTTTACATTAGTGTTTTTTATTTTTTATTTTTTTTTTGACACCAAACTTTAACATAAGGCATATATATTTAAGGATCTTTTGCCACATAACTTAACATTGTAAACACTTGACTGGATTATAAATGTTTTAAATCACAATACATTTGTGCACTAAAAACTTGAATTAAGAAATTTTTTTGCTGCTTGTTCAAACTACTTAAAAATGAGCTGAAACCATGAGCAGGGACAATTTACACCATCAATATGTAGCATGCACTGCACTTTAACCAATCCATACTTGAAACAATACTGCCTACAACTATGTGGACACCTATTCATTGTACATATTGCTGTCAATTTTTCATTGTCCTGTTTTTTTGGGAGTATGCTGTTGTATTTTGTCGTTGTATTTGCACTGTCATTTTATTTGCACTGTCAGTATTTTGCAATGTTGTGGTATTTGCATTATATATGTATTTTGTAATGTCTGGAGCCAGCACCTAAGCTTTTCACCCATTATAGCACACAAGCTGCTGATGATGTGACAATAAAAGTGATTTGATTTAAATCTTCAATCCACCTAAATTTGTTAAGTTATCGATTAGCATTTTGTACACAGTACATATAAATGACCATATGTGATTGTTACAATTCTAAACTTGCTAATGGATGTAAAAACATATAGTATTAAGGGGTGTCTAATAAGGTCTGCTAATGTCTTCTTCAGCAATTATTCATTAGCGCCTCTGAACTATATGAGGAAACAGATTTTGTTGACTGAGCACACTGCATAGCAATTCAGATTCAGAGAGAATGTTGTGCTGGGCCCTTAATATTTCATACAGTTTCATGCTGAGGTTTTTCCCCAGAGGCGAAACGTGATAAAAGCAAACAAATTTTACACAGCAGATTTTCTTCTAGGCAGAAGTTGGAGCATTATCTCTATCTTTGGCAAGAAAAAACAACAACAAATAACACAGGAAAATATTAAACAGAGATAACATAAAAAAATAAATAAAAAAACTGATTAAAATATTCAGATTTACAGGTTAACATCCCCCAAGGACAAAACAAGGTCTTCTGGTGCTGATAAAAAATGTTGCATTCTTTATCAGCAGGAATATTTTAATAAAAAAACTTGTATAGATATGACTTAATACAAATATGCACACTTCTCAAGACTCTTACTTTATGTAGGTGTTAGCATTGCCCTCTGGGAAGATGTAAGGATGTTTCTTGCGGAAAACGTGGCCGACCCTGCTACAGGGGATAATTTCCAGGCTTCCTCCACACATCCATACTCTGAACGAGATTTCTACAAACACAAACAGTGAACACCAATCACAGTGTGTTAGATTCAGTAATAACAATAATAATAATAATAATTATTATTATATTTCCAACACTTCATTTCATGGTCTCCAAATAATAAGTATAAACTCACAATACAGAAACGGATTAACTTTTAAATTAAGGCCTGTTCAGAGTTCTGTGGTTAATTAACTGTATATGTTTTCGATGAACCCAAGTGTTCATCCAGTTTTTTTTAATTGCAAAATGTTTATTGACAAAGTTTTTAATGGCAAAATTCATTTATTGGCAGACAATTCCACCAATTAGAGAAAAAACTTCAGAAATAAAACTTGTATCGGAACTGCAGCAATGGTTTGTCCGTTTGTCATCCTCTGAGAAAATGGTTGATGGCCGTCTAGTTACTACAGATGCAAAGGGAGTGCAAGCGCAAAATTCATTGAAAATGGTGAAGGAATCCACGTGCCATGCACTTTTCACATGCTTTTACATGCGATATGTGAACGGACTCTGGTTGGGTTGCGTCATCGCTAGCTCAGGTCAAAATAACACAGATTGTAATTAAAAAAGGATGCAAGGATGTTGCCAGTGGCTTTTCTTGTGCATCCCAGCCACTAGCTCCCCATCTGAAATATTTTTTAGCACAAATATAATATACATTCAACTTCACATTTTTTAATGTTCAGTGTGTATTTAAATAATGGTGGTTGGTTTCTATACTCGAATGCTTAGATTTGATTACCATAATTTGTTTTGTTTACAGAGTTTGAGGTTTACTGTATCATTATTGACATCTTATTGATGTTGATCTACTTTAAGGTTTGCTTTGATTGTTCAGGGTTTACATTTTACCATTGCACACACTTTGTAGCATTTTATTTATCAAGTTTAAGAGTCTCTTTAACACTTATGTTTATTTTATTATAAGACATAAGAGACAAGATATTTTTGTTGAATTTTTTGTTTTGTTTTTGACTATTAAAACTAATTGTCGTAGTAATGTTGGTAAATTAAAATAAAGTGGTTAAATAAAAAACTCCTGATATTCCTAAATGGATTGTAAAAAATATTACATCATTTTGATACCAAATTATATGATAACATTATAATATTTTTTTTCTTGTATAGCCCAGCCCAACTTTTATAGTCAACAGAACCATAAAAATATCCCACATTTCTCTCATTATCAATGTTGAAACTGCTTAACATTACATTTTGAAACTTCTTTTTCATCAGGATGTTTTGATAAATAAATGAAATACAAATAGTTGGTCTTTGCTGTGCACTTTTGATCTTTTGAACGTGCTCTTGATGAATGCAAGTACTAATTTCTTTCAAGAAATAAACCCTACAGGCTCTGCATTGATTACAGTTTTTTACAATTGCTATGACACTTTTATCAATACATTTAACAAGTTTCCTAAACTCTTAACACAGTTAGCACAACATCCATCTTCGTAGGCTATACAATTAACACATTTCTTGTTGTTTTGACACAAAATGCATTCAGTTAACACAAATTTAAAATGCTTTAACTTCTTTTACACACAAGCACAACCAAGAACAAAACAATGTAATTTTACAGTCAAATTTACAAATGCTTTAACACAGTATGTCAGAACAGATAACACCATGTTCTAAACAGAAATTATATAGGATAAAGTCAAAGTGAACAGCTGTTCTAATTGTGAATTGAAACAAATATATTCCCTGTATTTTATTCAATTGCCAATGAGAAACAGCATATTGCTGTTATTTAAAAAAAAAAAAAAAAAAAAAAAAATATATATATATATATATATATATATATATATATATATATATATATATATATATATAACCACAATATGCTGTTTCTCATTGGCAATTGAATAATATATATATATATATATATATATATATATATATATATGACAGCTGATCCCCATCTAGAAAGCACACTCAAGTCTTGAGGTTTTTCCAATCACATGATCATATGTTCTAATAGAGGACTCTTGAGGTTTTTAAAAGAAACAGTGAGCGCATCAAAGAACTCTGTCACCAATACGTCCAGGTAAGATTATGCAATTCAGTCATTACTGTACTATACAAAGTGTGTTTTGCAGTAAACTACTCTTTAAACCTGGAGTTCATAAGTACATACAGTAGATATACAGTACAGCATTTGCATACACTGTGTCTAATTACTTTCAGAGAGTCATGAAGTTAGAGGCCAATTACAGTTTTTTACAATTGCTATGACACTTTTTTCAATACATTTAACAAGTTTCCTAAACTCTTAACACGGTTAGCACAACATCCGTCTTCGTGGGCTATACAATTAACACATTTCTTGTTGCTTTGACACAAAATGCATCCAGTTAACACAAATTTAAAATGCTTGAACTTCTTTTACACACAAACTCAACCAAAACCAAAACAATGCAATTTCACAGTCCAATTTACCAATGCTTTCACACAGTATGTCAGAACAGATAACATCATGTTCTAAACAGAACCTATACAGGCTAAAGCCACAGTAAGCCACAGCTGTTCATATTGTCAATTGAAACACAAATATATTCTCTGTATATATATATATATATATATATATATATATATATATATATATATATATATATATATATATATATATATACAGAGTTCTGTAATGTGCTCACTGTTCCTTTCAAAAACCTCATGAGTCCTCTTTTTGAACATACAGTATGATCATGTGATTTGAAAAACCACAACACATTTTTTTTTAGATGGGAATCTGTTGTCATATATATATATATATATATATATATATATATATATATATATATATATATATATATATATATATATATATATATATATATATACACACACACACACACACATACACACACATGTATATATACATAAATGTATGTATGTATATATATATATATATATATATATATATATGACAGCTCCCATCTCCCATATGAACATGATTCCCATCTAGAAAGCACACTCATGTGTTGAGATTTTTAAAATCACATGATCATACTGTACGTATGTTCTAAAAAAGGACTCATGAGGTTTTTGAAAGGAACAGTGAGCACACTGCAAAACTCCGTCACCAATATGTCCAGATAAGGTTATGCAATACAGTCATTACTTTACTACTTTACAGTACTATACACAGTGTGTTTTGCAGTAACCTACTCTACAAACCTGGCGTGCATACATTAGTTATAGTACAGTGAACCATTTACACTGTGTCTAATTACTTTTAGAGAGTCATGAAGTTGGAGGTCAATCAAGTCCCACATGAAATTATCTATGTTGACGAGGCTGGCTTCAACTTGGCGAAAAGGCGTCGCCGTAGGAGAAACATAATAGGCCAAAGGGCCATCGTTACCCTGCCGGGCCAGAGAAGAAGTCGGCAGGCAGTATAGAAAATTATTTAGTTTTTTATTATAATTGCTTTGCTTTTTTTTGTTTGTATAGCTTGCAGTGATGTCCTTTTTCAAATAAAGTCTGTACTGCAGCAATTCTGGGTCTGTAATTTTTTTTTTACATTAACTGTACATTTTATAAAGCATTTTTTTTTCTTTATTTTTGTATTGTACTTTTGCAGTAAAATAAAGAAAATGCATGCATTTACTAAACCCAACAAAGTGAAAATGTAGAGTGTCTTAAAATATAAGGTCAAAGCTGACACATAAACTAATGCAGTTTCTGTAATTTTAGCTGATGATAGTGTTTTTATTGTCAGTGTGTTCTGATTGACTGAATGTTTCTGTTGAAAGAGAACATGTGTTTGTGTTTTGAACAATAATGTCATTTTGAAACATGTTTGTAGTGTTTTGTTAAACAAGGTGTAGTACGTTCGTTTATTATTGTAATTTGAAAAGTAGTTTAGAGGTTTAGTTTACAATGTGTGATTTTGAGCATAAAATTAATTGTTTTGTCAATTGTGTGTTTTAGGTGTGTTGCTGCGTTAAGAGTTTAGCAAACTTGTTAAATGTATTGAAAAAACTGTCATAGCCATTGTAAAAAACTGTAAGTACCACATGAAATTTTCAATGCTGACAAGGCTGGGGATGTCGCCGTAGGAAGAACATGATAGGCCAAAGGGCCACAGTTACCATGCCGGGCCACAGAAGATATCAAGTGTAATGTGGATGAGAACATGTGGCAAAAGACCGGGCAGAATAGAAGATTACTTTGTTATTTTATTATATTTGTGGTGCTTTTTCTGTTTGCAGTGATGTCCTTCTGCAAAAAAAGTCTGTACTGCAGAAATTCTGTGTCTGTATTTTTTTTTACATAAACTGTAAATTTTATAAAGCAATTTTTTTCTGTTTTGTATAGAATTTTTGCAGTAAAAGAAAGAAAATGCAAGCATTTACTTAACCCAGCAAAATGAAAATGTAGAGAGTCTTCATATATAAGGGCAGAGCTGACACATAAACTAATGGAGTTTCTGTAATGTCAGCTGATGATAGTGTTTTTATTGTCAGTGTGTTCTGATTGACTGAATGTTTATGTTGGAAGAGAACATGTGTTAGTGTTTTGAACAATAATTTCATTTTGAAACATATCTGTAGTGTTTTGTTAGACATAGTGTAGTGTGTTTGTTTATTATTGTATTTTGAAAAGTAGTTTAGAGGTTTAGTTTATAATGTGTGATTTTGAGCTTGAAATTAACTGTTTTGCCAATTGTGTGTTTTAGGTGTGTTGCTGCGTTAAGAGTTTAGCAAACTTGTTAAATGTATTGAAAAAAGTTTCATAGCCATTGTAAAAAACTGTAATGACTCTCCTGACACAGCACACAGCAGAAACGTACAATATGTAGAGTAAAATAACTTGCTGACATGTGTATATGTGATTTACAGTAGCGCTCCAGGATACAGCTCCACTCTCACAGCAAGAATTAGATCATACGGCTGAAATCTCCTGTCTAAATATGCCATTGCCCAATGCTCATTTGCAATTATGAGCACAGCAGCCTACTCGAGTCTCAATAAACCAGGCCTGCAACAGCTCAAGTCTAATTCCATCATATATGCATGGTTAATGATAGTTTAAAACTACCATCCTATTTCCTATGCATTGCTATCAATGATTTTACAAAGTCATACAGGACAAAGTTAAGTTCACCAAAGTGTTAGTCTACTTCAAATGTCATTCCTCTTCGTGATCAGACAACCCAAAGTCTAAATTTATGATTTATCATGCCTTTTAAAATAGAATGATTTTTGTCCATACTGGCATTTCCAATGTATTTTAGAAAAGATCTCAATTTTCACTACACAAGCAAAAATACACATGAAAGAATCTAAAAGCTGATGAATGTCCTGATCAGGAGTGGGAGTAGTTGAATTGCTCTCAGACAAAGTATAACTATTTTGTAAATATTTATATTGCATTAGCACGCAGCCTTTGTGACTAGCCAGTTACAGCTTTTCAAACTGATTGTGACTCATTTTTGATTTTCTGTTCAACCCTAAAGAAAACAGACCAAAGTTAAGGCCCCTTCACACCAAATATAAAGATAAAGGCTGCGTTCTAAACATTGTTCTGAATGTAAAGGTGTATTCACACCTGTAGATTGTTTTGTTCCAAAACAAGGATTAAAATTGCAACATTGTTGCTCTTTGTTCGTGGTGTGGTTCACATTCACACTGCAAAGTTTCTAAATGAACAAAAATAGCTAAAACAAGTCAAGTGCAAGTAAACTCTCCTCACATTGGTCAGAGTTCCACGGTTTATTTTTCAGAGCTTCGCTCAGCAGTCAAGTGTCCTTACTTTAGTTTACGACGATGAGCAATAAGACATTATAAGCGAAAAGCTGCGCTTTAATTTTGAATGGTGACACTCACAGACATCATCACCAAATATAAATCAGTGGTAAGATTTTCTCATACATAGACTTGGCTAGAAATGTGCATTATAGGCTTTACATTATAAAGAGAGATATTAGATAAACCAAGACTTAATTTCAGTCAATTTTCTATAAACGGATAAACAGCTCTCGTATAGTTCAGCATACTTTCACTTTTGACATGAAACGCACATTTACCTGTAGGAAAGACATCCCGCTCTAATCATAATTCTTTCGTCTTATAGCAAGATATGCCTATTACATATCCATAATACACTGTGATATAGCCTTGTTCCTTAGTTTGTTGGATTGTTTTGCTTTCTCTCTACACTCGATCCGCTCCAGAGGAGAGATCTGTGCTGGACAAAATTTTGAATCCCGCTCCAGCCTGTTTCCACCAGGTTTTAGCCCGAACCAGACCACTCCTGCTTATATTCAGCATTTGTTGTCCCGCTGCCCGACCCGCCCCGTTTTCTACTCGCCGCGTCTGTTCTTGCTAATGAGCGGGGGGAGAACAAAACAGAAAACCACCTAGCTATACAGAGTCCAAACAGCCTATAACAAGCTGTCTGTATAAACACACACACAGATAGACAGCACAAAGTTCTCTATCTCATTGGCGTGCACACGTGCACACACACACACACACAAACACACACACACACGCAACAAACAAGCTAAATGCAGCATCACGCTGTCTTATTCACACACATTCTTACGCATGCTCGCTTGCTTAGGAGTCGGGAGCGATATTGTTAGACCGCCCGCTCCCAACCAAAATTAAACCAGTTACCGACCACTCCCGCGCTTTATTCGAAAATTTATTCCCGCACCGCAGAAATTTGATCGGGTCCCGCAGCTCCCGCGGTACAGCCGCTGGAATGCAGACCTCTACTCCAGAGTTCGTTTTAATCAAGCCGAGACCACCTCATTCAGGCGATCTCGGACCAATTGTTTTGACGCGGATCCCAATGCGATTGCTGGGTTCACATATGCCAAACGAACTACACTAACTGCGGAAACCACCATGTCCAAAAAAAAAGTCTAGGTGTGAAAGCAACCCTAAAACAATAGCAGAGTTCAGACCACAGCTATAATAAAACTATATCATTGGGATCACTTTCAGTAAGAATTTTCTCCCAATCTAATAAATGCTAAAACAGTGACAGTCAGAATCCATTGAAATATACCTGTGAAATGATCACAAAATTTAAACCTTTAAACAACATTGTGGAGATACTTATTGCTTGATGTTTAACCCATCATTTTAAAGATCATATAAAGATAATAACATTTGGTTATGCCATGGGAAATAATGACTGAAATAAATACATGACAAGCTTATGAATTGAAGTCTAAAAATAGATGTATTTCAGTTATCCTGTGCTAGTTTTGTTGTATTTGTGTTGTGTTTGAAAATATTGGGAAAATAAGCGATCGCTAAATTCACTGTTTTTCACATCGATTCGACATCACAAGTTGGATTTACTGGTCAGATGTGCTTATAGCACACCAAGGACATCTGCTGGTCACAAGGGGGTAATGCCAAGTGACAAGCATAATCTAAAAATAAACAGAATGTTATCGTTCGCCTGTGTGGACAAAACAAATTAAATAAGAATACATATTTATTCTTATATTTACAGTTATCGTGTTTGATGTGCCTTTAACGTAGCCTGAGTTTCCTCTGTCAGTGCTGGATCGGAGAAGGAAAGTGATTGAGGTTTATGTGCTGTCAGACAGGTGCGCTCATGCATAGTAATAATAACTCACCGAAATTCTCCCCTCCCCAGATGTCCATGGCGGTGTCATATTTCCCCAAGCGATTGAACCAGGATCTGTCAATCACGAAAAGTCCTCCTGCGATGATGGGCGTTCTGAGGGTTGAAAGAGTGAAACATTAAGCTTTGACACTAAACTCTTCAATCCTGGTGACTGCGCAAAATACTGCCGTCACTCAGGATTGATGTATGAAAACATTTCTTTCAGAATGCGGGTGAAGTGAAGAGCATTGGATCGAGTAAAGAGGATAAAAGGTCAGTGAAAAGAGGGTGTGTGAAAAAAACAGTTCTTATTCTCCTGATGAAGCTCAACATGCCCTTCAAAATCAATGCATGCAGAGAGCTGCTTCAAACGCTGAGGACACTGGAGAAACAGCGCTGGTTTTATCGGAAGCATATGAATTGCATCAGCTGTAATCTCTCATTGTGAAGTGGTAGGACAGATCGTTTCCTCCGCACTCCTTAAGGACCACTCACGTACTTTCATTTCACATTTATTTCCTTTCTCGCACATCTGTTCTCATCGCTTTTTAGTAGGCAGAAACAAAGCCCAAAAGCTTTAACAATTGGGCTCAGTAAATGAGTGGAAAGTGGAAAAAGCTGGCAGAGGTTTTAAAAAATGAATGAATGTGAATGGATTTTTAGTAATACAATGAATTTAAGTTCTATGATAAAGGAATGCCAGAATTGAAAGTATGTAAAAATCTAGTACAAACTAAAAACAGC